TGTCTCCCTCTCTCCTCTCCATGTCCCACTGGATAAATCTTTAGGTCAAGGATATAATTAACAATTAGCCTTGGGATGAGTCAAATTACTCTTCACACATGGGATCTGAAGAACGAATCAATAACTTGGGAAAATTAAGTCTCTCTAAATGAGCTGACTGGTGTAAATCACATCTTTCTGTGTTCTGAAGGAGGAAGGAGACAGCTTGGGCGGTTCGCAATTGAGAGAAACGATTCATTCCCTTATTTAACACATCAGCAATGGGATTTGTGTTAAGATATTAATTAAAGTTAATGCAACAATCCAAGGGCCACAAATCCCTCATGTCTTTAAGCTTAAAACCATTTGGTCTGCCAAAAAACAGTCACTACATTTAACCATGTGCTTTGAGATGTTTCTTTTTAGCATTGCTATAGAAATGCATCATCCCAGTGTTAAGATACAATCCAATTTATATAGCACCTATAACGTTGAGAGGCAGAGCTTGGCACATTGGTAACACTTTCGCCTCTGAGTCAGAAGGTTGTGGGCTCAAGGCTCACGTCAGGACTTTGAATCATATAGTCTAAGATGACGCTCCAATGCCATCGAAAACCGTCTGTGCTTGTTGGGGTGGATGTTAAAGATCCCACGGCACTATTCGAAAAGTGAAGGGAGTTTCTCTCTCTCTCTCTCTCTCTCCCAGGTGTCCAGGCCAACAATCCTCCAAATACAATTTGTCACTAACTCCATGACTGTTTGTGAGACACTGCTGTGCACAACTGGCTGCCACATTTCACTCACAAAGTACAGTCAATCCACTTTCCAGTATATCCTGTGAAGTGCTTTGAGACGTTTCGACAATGTTGAAGTGTTATGAAGGTGGCCGAAAGCACAGTTGAAGTGATAGGTGTTAAATACTGCATTGCCAGAGATGCCAACCTTCAGATGAGACGTTAAACTGAGTCTGTGTGTTCAGATGGATCTTAAAGTGTCCGACGACACTATTTGTGGGACCACGCTGTACACAAACTTTCTGCCTGCATAATTACACACAAACAACATGCTAGCCACATCAATGTGAAGGGTTTTCAAGGCATTTCGACATGATAATAATCCATTGCAAAAGCAAGTGTTGTTGTTGTTATAAAGCTCCTGCTAATAACAACGCATTGGTGAGGCCAGGGACGATCAGTGCTGTATCTCCGAATGAACTCAACCTATTGGGAATTGGCGGTAATTGAAATCTGTTTGGGAAGTGACTGATATAATTTATCTCAGCCTCTCACCTCTTCAGACAGAATGAAGAATGATTTCCAATCGCGGAGCTTGGTTTAATCTGGGAAGCGGTTGCCAGCTAATTTGGGAGCCCGTGTGCCTCTGAGCAGCACTAACCCCTATATTACACCCTGACACGATTTCACCCCTTTAGAAATTTCACTTTAGTTAACAGTTTATAAATTAGAGCTGCCATGATTAATTTGGTAAATCGCTTCCAGCCATCCAGTGCAAGGAGATTTTGTGTTAAATAACCTCCTGGAAAGTGATGGAAAAATTATTTTAATTTATCTTTTTTTTAAAAAACGGGTTTTCTGGCCAATTAAATTTTCCCAGCTGGAGATTGTGCTGCGTACACTCCAGGGATCCAAACATCCCCTTGGGCTCAGCTTTAGCAAGAGGACCCGAGTTCGATTTCTGGCCGAGGCGAAACCTTAGGCAAGTTTCCTTAGCCCACACACTTGTGTTTACCCAACAGTAAGTAGGAACTTGATCATTAGTGGTTTTTCATTGTTGGATCGCTTTTCTGGAGGTGGCAATTCCGTAAAAATAAATTTTAATAATTAAAACAAAATTATAATTTGGTCACTCAATCCACGACTGTTTGTGGGACCCTGCTGTGTGTAAATTGGCTGCTGCATTTTGCTTGCACAAAACACAGTCACTTCACTTTACAGTAATATTCTGTGAAGCGCTTTGAGGCGTCTCAACGACGTGACAAGGCGCTATATCAAACGCAAGGATTGTTATTATTGATAGTTAACAACTCCATCGCGGTTGATGAAAGGCAACTGCCACCAATGCAGTGCTCCCACCTTCCTTGGTATTGAGCTGAAGTACAGCCTTATGTGTGTAAATTGTACACTCAGTAGCAATCAGCACAGGCATTGCACATCCAGCACAGCCAACACACCAATGAATCTCGCCTACAATTAAGGAGAGTGCAGCACCTGTCCCTGTAACAGACGGATTAAACAGCCGCCCAAGTGACCTATAAACCACTGTTTGGTAATTGAATACAAAATCCTGGCCACTTCCAAGAATTTAGGCCGTCTTAAAAAACATTTTTATGTAATCACGATGCTTTAATGCTCGTGTTCCTCGTGAAAGCACCTAATGTTCTCTTCTGCAACAACCCGCTCGCTCTTGCAGGATGTTGTCACCGAGCGGTTTATAAAGGCAATGGAGAATCCTGAGGAGGGGAAGGAAATAAGCTTGAGGCAAAGGCAATGTTAGACATTCCGGAAGTAGTGACTGGGGAAATGGGGTCACAGGAGATCACAGAGATCAGGTGGTGCCAAGGTCATTGAGGTACATGAAGATGAGGACAAGGATCTTAAACGGGCAGACTCAACAGGTAGCATGGAGACCTGTGTATTGGTTTGACCACTTGCCTCGCAAGCGAAAGGACCTGGGACACCCAGGTTCCTACTTACTTACTAGGTAAACAGAGGCATGTGGACTAAGGTTTCGTCCTGGGAATCAAACTCGGGTCCTCTCACTTGTGAGTTGAGCACGTTATCCACTAGGCTATGGAAAGTTGCGGCGATGGAGGAAACCAAACTTGGTCAGAAACTCAATGAAAGGCTTAGAGGAGAGGAGAGTTGAGGCAAGCAGTAGAGCAGAGTGGGAGATGCGGAGGGTACAGGTTAGAGAGTGAGTCAGGAGGGCAATTAACAATTCGGTTTCCTGTTTAATCTGGGAAACGGGTAGAATTTAACAGCAGGTTTTCCATTAAAAGTGAGCAGGTTGGATAAGTTTCCATTGTGACATGTGAGCCATTCCATTCATTTGAATTTATTGTGTGGGAGGTGCATTTTTCTCAGCGCTTCTGTGATGTTTCCAGATGATGAGGTGCTGCATCAAATCCAATTATACTCAAACGTTCCATGAATTCAGTAGTGGAATAAAAGTACTCTGTCGCCACCTTCTGGAACGTTCTATCATTATATCTATGATTGACCGATTCTGATTTTAATCAGTAAAATGTTCTTTGAAGAGATTTTATCTTGTTTGGGGGAAAATTAAAGATGCTGTGACAATATTCAAAAAGACAAATGAGGTTCCCCTTGTGGCCTGGCCAAGAATCCCCACCTGATATGAAAAGTACTATATTAAATGCAAGAAGTATTATTATCAATTGATTATTCACCTCATGGCTGGTTGTGGGACATTCTTATGTGCAAAATAGCATGTAGCATTTGCCTCCAAAGACAGTCACTACAATTCACAGGAAAAGGTGCAAGAGATGTATTTAGATTTTTGTATTCAGCTAATAATAATAGATGTGCATTTAGTATCTTACGAAGTTCTATTACTGCCAATATAAGTTTTCAAAGCAACAATCTAAATGTCTGTCTGTTTCGAAGCTTCCTTACCTTCAACTAAAGGTGTCAACCTACAACACTTTGATTTAAAACGTCCATTTGCTCAGTCCATTTGCTTGCATATTGTCGAGTACTGCTCTGACTGGGACTTGGCTTCTGATATCTATTAGAATATTCCAGCAGCAGGTAGTGCAGATTGAGTGAGCCCAGTCACGGAAACCATTAGAGAAAATTCTAGTTCTTAAATACCCAACTCTTGGTGTGGAATATGCACACCAGCCAGACTGAGTGGACCGAATTGCCTGTTCTTAGCTACATCATCTATGAACTCTTTGACTCTTGCCTTTGATCAAAGTCCTTAAATTCTCCTCCCTCTCCTCCATGCTTTCAGCCAATTGCGCACAGTACTGTCCCTCAAACAGTTGTGGATTGAGTGAAGGGATTTTTTTTAAAAAGGAAAGAGATCTGCCAATCGACTAATAACCGGGTTCTTACTCACTGCTGGTAAACAGAGTGTGGAGTGAGGAAACTTGCCTAAGGTTTCGCCCTGACCCGCCCGAGAATCGAACCCGGGTCCTCTCGCTTATGAGGCAAGCGCTCTAACCACTGAGCTGCAGCGCTGCATGCAATTACAATCGTTAGGCCCAGGGGTACTAAGGGATGTGGGGCGGGTAATTGGATTCGAGGTACAGATCAGACGTGAGCTTATAGAATGGCTGAATGGCCTCCTCCTGCTCCTATATTTACATGGGTTGCATGTGCCAAACCCCGGCAGTGTTGGGGAGTGGGGGATTGAAGGCCGGGGAGAGGGGGGGGTTTGGAGGCCGGGGGGGGGGGTTTGGAGGGGGGGGGGGGTTTGGAGGCCGGGGAGAGGGGGGAGAGGGGGGGTTGGAGGCCGGGGAGAGGGGGGGGGTGGAGGGGGGGGGGGGGGGGGGGGGGGGGGGGGGGGGGGGGGGGGGGGGGGGGGGGGGGGGGGGGGGGGTTGGGGGGGGGGGGGGGTTGGAGGCCGGGGAGAGGGGGGGAGGGGGGGTTGGAGGCCGGGGAGGAGTCTCCCATTAGGGAAAGGGGGCCGCATGGCTGTGAGGAACCAGTTGCTGTGCACGTGCTCGGAGCACGTGCTGCAGGTGAGCGGCGGATCACGTGACCTCTCCTTTCCCGCCCCGGGCTGGGGGGGCCGGGCGGGGGGGGGGACGAACTCTCGCGAGAGGCAGGGCGCCAAATCCCGTCCCGGGTGGCCAAGTCCCACTATTTGGCAGCCGGGTGATCTCGCGAGATCGGCGTGGGAGGGAGCCGTTTGAATTGACTGGCGGCTCACTATCTGGCAAGGCCGCCATCACGGTGGGCGGGGGGGGGGAAGAGAAAGTGAGTCACGTGACAGCACGAGCTGCGCGCGGCGGCGGCTGCGCACTATGTGGCAGCGGCGGGAGGAGGAGGAGGAGGGAGGAGTTGGCGGTTGGGAGGAACGCGCGCGGTTGGTAAGGTCAGGTGAGCCGAGGAGACAGACAGACAGACCCCCCGCGCTTGTCTCTTTCCCCTCAGCTCTGACAAGACTGCAGCAAACCGGGGAGCGCCATTATTTCCACTCTCCACCCCCCCCCCCGCCGCCCGCCCCTCCTCCACGCCACCGGGTCGGCGTCAATGAAGGGGCGGGGTTGGCCGGAAGAGCTTCCGGACCCGGATTTCTAGGCCTGGAGCTGAAATTCAGGGCAACCCGGCGGCCATTTTCGCGTTGGCAGAACTACAATCCCCAAGGTGCGCTGCGCCGCGCGTGCGCAGAGTGGGCGTTGGCGATCGCCCCGCCCCGCCCCCCCCTCGGTCACGTGATGGGTCTAAGGGCTGTGGCACTGGGTGGAGGTTGCAGCTCACAGAATGCACAGTCACTACACTTTGCAGTAATATTCTGTGAAGTGCTTTGAGACGTCTCAAATTGATGGTCGAGCAGTTCGTACGTTTTGGTGCAGTGCCCTATGATGTCTTGGAGATCTCTCTTGAGCGCTTCGCAGGATTTACTCTTAAACCCTCAAACTCACCGTTACACCGGTTTGGGTGTCTTTGGGAAAGCTTTAGTGGAGTCCTGCGGCTCAGTGGTTAGAGCACTCGCCTCGCAAGCGAGAGACCTGGCTTCGATTCCCGGCAGGGTGAGACCTTGGGCAAGTTTCCTTCCTCCGCACGCAGCCTGATGATAATCCCTCAAGAAAAAAAACAGTAATGAATTGGTCACTTCAATCCACGAGTGCTTGTGGGTGACGCTGCTGTGCGCAATCGGCTGCTGCGCTTTGCCCACAAATTATGCAGTCAATTCACTTTACAGTCTACACTGTGAAGCGCTTTGAGACGTCAAGAAGACGTGAAAAGCGCTGTATCAAATGCAACGATTTTTTTTTATCCTGTTGAGATGGTAATCCTATGTGAAAGGCACAACATAAAGAAGAGATTGCTTTTTTTATACCTCCTTGTACGTCTGAATATCTCAAAGCAAATAGACTTGTTTACTTGTTATCCATGTTGAGGTTTTGCACTGTGGGTGATTTCTGTAATTTATTGATTTTTTTCAGTAAAGTAAAGGATGTACCTTGGACCATGGGTCAGTCTGTGTGCATCTGTTCTCGTGGGATATTGACAATCGAAAATAAACGCTATTTCTTTATACAGAACCTGGATGAAGGGTATGTGATCAGTGATACCAGTTTTCTATTGTTTCCTTTGCTGTGATCCTGATTCTTTGAAAGAATGGTGTCAAATTTGATAGGTACTTAAAAAGGAAAAATTGTGCAGGGGTGTGGGATAAGAGGGGAGAAAAATATCTTAAGTATTGGAATGTTTGAATCTAGCATTCTCCGCCATAGACAGTACATAAGAACATAAGAAATAGGAGTAGGCCATTCGGCCCCTCGAGCCTGCCCCGCAAGGTTCTGTCTCAACAGTAGTGATCTAATAGAATGGTGGAACAGGCTCGCGGAGCTGAATGGCCTCTTACTGTACCTATGTTCCTATGAGCTGCATTCTGTTTCTTTGCCAGAGGTTTCAGCTACGTGGACCTGGTGGAGGGAGCCCAGAACGGCCGGTTCTATGCCCTGAAACGCATCATCTGTCACGATAAAGAAGATCGCAAGAATGCGCTGCATGAGGTGGAGATGCACCGGATGTTTAGCCACCCCAACGTCCTACTCCTGGAGGCCCACTGCATCCAGGACAAGAGCCCCAAGTGCGAGGCCTGGCTGTTGCTGCCTTACATCAGGGTACAGGACCTGCTGTCTGTCTGTCCATGTGTTCATTAAGCAACCAAAACGATCGTGCACAGTTGCTATCTCTTGAGGAGCACACAGTAGGTTTGCAGTGTATATAGAGTCCTGTAGTGTAGTGGTTAGAGCACTTGCCTCGCAAGCGAAAGGAACTCGGGTTTAATTCTCGGGCAGGGCGAAACCTTAACCAAGTTTCCTTACTCCACACACCTCTGTTCACCTAGAGGTAAGTAGGAACCTGGTTGTTAGTCGATTGGTGGATCGCTTTTCGGGGGTAATAATCCTGAAAAAAATGTGGTCATTCAATCCACGACTGTTTGTGCACAATTGACTGCTGCATTTCGTCCACAAAACACACGATCATTGCACTTTACAATATATTCTGTGAAACGCTTTGAGACGTCTCAACGGTGTGATAAGGTGTTATATCGAATGCAAGGATTATTATTATTGCTACAACACAGTCACTACACTTTACAGAAACTTTGAAACACTTTAAGACGTCTCAATGGTATAGACTATATCAAATGTAAGGATAAGTATTTTATTGCATATAACTTCAGTTCTGATACCAGGCTTTTGTATTATCTGGATCTGGCCACTCTGTGGAGCTGTTTGACACGTTCTTAATAGTGAAAGGTTTTGTGCAGCAACTAGATTCAGTCACTTGGTGGCGATGTGCAAAAGTGCACTACTTTATATACAGTACTAAGTGATTAAACCCAGGTGCTGAACCAAAAATGTATTTTAGTTGAATGGTTAGAATTACGCAATGGCTAATCGCTGGTAGCTTACCAGTATATAGCTCTATATTTTATGGTCCTTATTAAACTAAGAACTCCTAGCTGTTATTTGCACTATTATTGATAGCGATCTACAGGCCAGGAAACAAATAGAGAGGAAACCTGCATATTTATGGCGTCTCATCATTTTGAAATGTTTCAAAGGGCTTTAAGGTAATTACTGTGAACAAAGCAACAAGCTACATTAACTGCCTTAAAGATAGTTCTATTAATAATAATCCTTGCAATTGATATAGCACCTTATCACGTCATTGAGACATCTCAAAGTGCTTCACAGGATACACTGTAAAGTGGATTGACTGTGTGTTTTGTGGGCAGAACGCTAATTAATTTGGAGATTGTTGGTCAGGATACCAAGAGAAACTGCCCTTTCTTTTCCAATATTGTCACTGGATTTCTAACAGTGATCTCAATAGCTAGATGGGATCTCGGTTTAACTTTCATTCAAAGGACCATAGAGCAGTCACCTAGTACTGCATTGGAGTAGCTTCCTACAACTGTGAGCTCAAATCCAACATTGAGCTACAGAGAAACTATTTCCTCTGATGTGGCAATCCAGAACAACGTGGCATCATCTTAAAATTAGAGCTAGGCCATTTAGGAGTTAAATCAGGAAGTGTTCTTTCACAAAAGACCAGTGGGAATCTGGAACTCTTATCCCTTCCCCAAAAGGCTATGGATTATGGCTGAATCCATTCGCATTGTCTAGACTGAGGTGATAGATGTTTGTCAGGTCAGGGTATCAAGGGATACGGGGCAAAGGCGGGTAATTGGAGTTGAGGTACAGATCAACCATGATCTTATAGAATGGTGGAACAGGCTTGAGGGGCTGAATGGCCTCATCCCATTCCTAACCCACATCCATCAAATCCAGAGATGAGAGCGTGGCCGACTGAGTCAAGCTGACAGATAAACGGGACAATTGGCTGAAGAGGAAACTTACCTCCTGAACTGCTCTGTTCCTCCATGCTCTGTATATTTATAATACAGCTGATTTGTGACTCGTTTGTTACAGAAAGGCTCCCTGTGGGCAGAGTTGGAGAAGCTGCGGGATGCAAATAGTTTCATGTCTGAGGAAAGGATTCTCCGCATCTTCCATGGGATCTGCGCCGGGTTGAAAGCTATACATGATAAGGGCTATGCACACAGGTAAGGCTGGTTCTGTCACAAAGTCAGAGCGAGTGGAGCTATGTGCGACCAGAATGTGGTGTAAGTTGAGTTAGAAAGGGGTGTGGACGACAGTGTATAGTTTGGGATGTGCTTGCATATGCGACTACCAGGATGGTGGAAGGCGAACTGGATGGACTTGGTCTTGTTTCGTCAGCAAATTCTTATGATCTAAAATGTTGGATTGGGTCTGACGAGTTCCAAAAGCTGCCAAAGTGCGAAATGGACAGCTGTGAATATTGTTTTGTCTTGGGTTTTTCTCCATATCCCTTCAAGCATGTGAGGGAGAGGGCGGTGGAGAGAACGCAGTAGGGAATGACAGGCTGACTCAGTATAACAGACTCCTGGAAGCAGATGTTAAGAGTTCACTGGTTTTCTGACAGGGATGTGAAACCCACCAACGTCCTTCTGGATGAGGATGAGCAGCCTCTGCTGATGGACCTGGGGTCAATGAACAAGGCTCGGATTGAAGTCAAAGGGTCACGGGAAGCCATGTCCATTCAGGTACAGAACAAGGCAGACTGAGCTTTCAGTCCATGTGAATGACAGCCAAAGCCCCAGTGTGGACAAACAAAGAGCCGTTTGACAACAAATGTTGAGGCTTGGATCCGCATGAACATAAACTGGAGATAAAGTCGGTCATTTTGGTAAATCTTTGTATTGGAATCATTCAGCGAAAGGATAAGATTTTGGCCATGATTTATATTTTGGTCAGCCGGGTGTTTGACACGCGTGGAAACCCATCACTGTGCTTAAGCGTCTCCAAATCCGACTGAGAATTCCATGCATCCCACCTACACATGGAAATCCCAGAGATAGATGGAATGCGCACTCTCTCTCCCTGGAGGGATGCATCCTGCTTACCTAATTTCGGATGGTGCTAGGCACAGGTTGGCAAGAGTCGAGGCTTGGGAGAGCTACGCCACACAGACAGTGCTCATGTCTTTGACAGGTGCTGCTTGACCTGCCGCTAAGCCATTGAATGGCACAGAAAGAGGCAGCTCAGTCTATCTATCACTCCTATGCCATCTCTCTGCAAAAGCTATCTGTCTATTTATTATTATTTAATTCCTGCATTCTGTTCAATTACCTGCCTATTCCCCTTATATATTTCTTTGGTCATCCTCCCACCGCTCTTGATTCCAATCCCCAGCTCGGGTCCAAACCCTTGACCATCCAATGCTTTGGGACGTCCTTCCGACGTGAATGGCACTGTGTAAATGCCACTAGATGCCATTTCAAATATTTGTTTGATAGCCTTTTAAAAGCTATTATCGACTCTGTTTTAGCCAGTTTTTGGTAGTACATTCCACATCATAAAAAACTCTCTGTGTATTTAAAAAAAATCTCCCACCCTCTCCCCTTTTTTGGTGATTATCTTAGCTTTATTCAGTTACTGGCTCACTGACCATCCAGTTCCTTTGTGATCGCTGTTTTTTCCTCTTCTCTCTCTCTTGCCTTGCCTTGTTGAGGTTGATTTGCTGATGTTGTGTTGCAGGACTGGGCAGCTCAGAGATGTACTATATCGTATCGAGCACCTGAGCTCTTCACTGTGGAGAGTCACTGCATTATAGATGAACGGACAGACATTTGGGTATGTATCAAACCTACTTCATCAATTCGTTTTCAGTCCATGGACTGATTGAATAACCCTTGACTGTCCAGCACCATTTTTTTCTCTCAGTCTCTGCTCTGTGTGTGTGTGTGTGTCTCTCTCTCTCTGCTGTGTGTATAATTTACATGAATGTTTCTCAGTCTGCTATGTGTGTGTGTGTGTATCTTTTTCTCTGTCTGTGGGCTCTGTCTATAATGTGCATGTGGCTCTCAGTCCCTAGGTTGTGTGCTGTATGCTATGATGTTCCTGGAAGGACCATACGATGGTATTTTCCACAAAGGTGATAGCGTGGCCTTGGCTGTGCAGAATCCAATATCCATTCCTATAAACTGCAGGTAAGCCACAATACCAAGCCAGTCTCTTGTCTCCTCTCTGTTTCATCTGCACGGTCCCTCTTTCTTTCACCAATGGATTTGATCAGTTGGTCTTGGGCTTTCAGTATTGCTGACTAGTGGGATTGGTGCTAGGTATGCAGAAGAATCAAAAAAGCGAAGTGGTTAGTGTGCTCGCCTCACAGGTGAGAGAACCTGGGTTTGATTCCAGGTCGGAGTGAAACCTTAAGCAAGTTTTCTTACTCCACACGCATCTGTTTACCTTGTAGTTCCTCTGGCTCCGGTCTGCTCCACGTCCCCCGCCCCAACCGCCCTACCATCGGTGGTCGGGCCTTCAGCCTCTCAGCCCCCAGGCTCTGGAACTCCATCCCCCAGTGCCTTCGCCGCTTCCTCCCTTTCCTCCTTCAAGGCCGGTCTCAAAACCTTTCTCTTTGACCGTGCCTTCAGCTCCCCTCTCGACTCTCTTCCCCCTCCTCGCTCCCTCCCTTCCCTCCCCTCACCCTGACCATTTCCCCCCTCCTTGCTCCCTCCCTTCCCTCACCCTGACCATTTCCCCCCTGCTCGGGTCATGACCCAACTGTACAGCGCCTTGGGACGTCCTCCTGACGTGAAAGGCGCTCTATAAATGGAATCTTGTTGTTGTTGTTGTTGTTGTTGTAGTAAGTTGGAGCCCAGTTGTTAGTCATTTGGTGGATCATGGGGATAATAAACTCTCAAAAACAAGAAAGAAAAAAAAAATTTTGGTCACTGGTCACTCAATCCACGACTGTTTGTTTCACGCTGCTGTGCGCAATCGGCTGCCTCGTCTCGGCACAAAACACATATTCTGTGAAGCGCTTTGAGACGTCTCAGTGACGTGATAAGGCACTATATCAAATGCAGGGATTATTATTATAATATGGTGGAGACAATCAAACTAAAGACTGGCCTTGGGTGACTGACTGCTTGGGCCTAAGGCCACCCCAATGTCCAGTACATGTTTGGGTCAGCAAAGCATGTCATTGCAATGCTTCACTCTGCCTCGTTTTTGTAGAGTTAGCCAGTATCTCACAAAGTAGCACTCCTAAGACCGAAGGTGTAATGGCCACCATGGCTGACTTTGGGTCTGACTATTGTCACTGAGGCTGGGACGAGATGTTTTTAGATATCTCCTCGATCAACCATTTTTTTCTCCACCTGGGTGTTTCTGCAGATCCGGTGATGTTTGGACACTTCTGTGCATAATTGGCCGTCATGTTTCGCCCACAAACCTCTTTACAGTATACTCTGTGAAGCACTTTGAGATGTGTCGACGACATGATAAGGCGCTATGTCAAATGCAAGGATTATTATTAGAAAAGATCCTACGATGATATTGGAATAAAGAAAGGAGTTTCTCCCTAGTGCCCTGGCCAACAATCCTCCAAAATATTGGCCATTCAACAACAGCAACAACTTGCACTTACATAGCGCCCTCCATGCCAAGTGGCGTCTCAGAGCGCTTGCAGAGTGCGCATTCACCTCATAACTGTTTTGTAGACCTACAAAAACGGTCACTGCACTCCACGATAAATATTGTAAAAGGTTTCTGATGTTTTGATATGAGGTGCTATCAAAGGAAAAGTTTATTTTTTTATTTATCAACGATGTGATAGTTAACACATCATGCGTCCAAATTCCCACCCACCCACCCACCCACCAAGATACTAAAATTTATAATGAAAATCTCAGAATGCCACGTCCGAGGTTTCATCTTTTGCAGAGGGATTAGAATATAGGAACAGGAAGAGGCCATTCAGTCCCTCGAGCCTGTTCTGCCATTATATTAGATCACGACTGATCTGTACCTCAACCCCAATTACTGATTTTTGCCCCGTATCCCTTGATACCCTAACAAGCACCTATTCACCTCAGTCTTGAAAATTTGAATGTTAAAAATTAGAGCAAGGTTCCATCAAACCAAAGAGTTTTCTGCCTGAGAGAGTGAGCACAGGAACGTTAGAATAGAGGGAGTTGAGGAGTGAAATGGAGAGAAACATGAGAAGTAAAGGTCTTAAAGCGTCTGGGGAAAGTAGGGGAAAAGGGAATGAAAGATCCAGAACATGCTTGCCGGGCAGAATGAATCTCTGCCTGTTCCTTGGAGAGGACTGCCTGGGAGCGAGTTGTAATTGTAACACGATGAAGAAAAAAGCAGTGCATGTAGGAACTGTGAATTTGGAGGTTAGGAGGAAGGAGAGAGGGAGAGGGCGAGAGGGGAAGGTTCAATTACACGAGCGATTTGAACAAAGTTGAAGAAGGTCTTTCATCTCATTGATCACATCCTTCCAGCATGTCCACCTTCCCCGCTGACTTCCCATTCCAGCACCAAGCTGTTTCTCAAATCAAAGAGAGGTGAGGAAAGTTTCTATAGTGGGAAAACAAGAGAGAAAACGAGTACCTAACAGATGATGAAGCCTTGTCTCATGTCCTGGCAACTTGTAGTACCTTTCAGGTAGGACGGGAGTCTCAAAGCACCTTACAGAGCTAATAGGGAAACACACACACAGCTGGGGAGAGGAGAAGGGGGGCTTGACCAGAGACACAGTCAAAGAGTTGGGTCTTGAGGTCAGGGAGAGAAAGAGTAATGGTGAAGGGAGTTTGGTCCCAGTTTCCTTACAGTTTTCTTTTCTGTGTGAGATGCATCGCACTGAACGAGAGGTCTCTGCTTTGTACTGCAGGCATTCGACAACCTGCAGCACCTGCTGAGGTCTATGATGGTTGTCAATCCCCAAGAGAGACCAAACATCAGTTGGGTGCTGAGCCAGAGTGAACAGTTACAGCCCCCGGGGAACATCCAGGAGACCAGCCGGATATGAAGGCTCCTGAGGTCCAACTCATCATGTAGACCCGAGAGAGCGATTCCTGACACAGTTCAGCATGAAAATCCTGACCGGAAAACTTTTGCACAGAAGCAGAATCTCTAAATCCTGCCACCATAGCTTCCAATTGCTGCACAATACGTCAAACCATCCTTTGGCTTTCACGTCATCCAGACTGTTATTTCTTTAGGGGAAAGAGAAACTATTGTAGTTGTGATTTTCCATTTATAGGCAGTCAAATGGATTCTTGGCTTTTTCTCTTTGCTTTCCATTGAATATTCCTCAGACTGGTCTGATTTCTAATCCACTATCTTCCCACCCGCTTTACAACCCCAAGGTGCCTTCTGCTGTGTCCAGCCTTCTGCGGTACTCTTAGTGAATAGAGGTTGGTGTTTTTTGGGAGTGGGGGGGAATGTTAAATGTATTGAAATTTAAGCCTGAGTTTTTTTTAATGTTCCTGGCCTTAAGACCGTGATCATAAATTTTAAGATTGTGCATAAGCTTGGAGTCCTGTGGCATAGTGGTTAGAGCGCTCGCCTTACAAGCGAGAGGACCCAGATTCGATTCGTGGACGGGGTGAAACCTTATGCAAGTTTCCTTACTGCACACACCATCTGTTTATCTAGCAGTAAGTAGAAAACCAGTTGTTTGTCAATTGGCGGATCCCTTTCCGGGATAATAATCTCCAAACAAAAAGAATAATTTGGTCACTCGACTATTTATGGAACATTGCTGCACAATTGGCACATTCTGCTCCCAAAATACAGTCAGTTTCCTTAACAATATACGCTGTGAAGCGCTTTGAGACGTCTCATTGACGTGATAAGGCAGTAGATTAAATGCAAGAGTAATTCTTATTTTGCAAAATTCATAAATTCAATATTTATTTGGATGTGGGTTTTTCGCAACTCGTTTTGGCTGCTTTGCTTCCGAATTTAAGACTGTTTTTCAAAAATGACACGCAATCGTATATTTTTAAGGCAGCGGTGTTAGGCTAAGGGGCGAGAGGAATCCAATGAGGACCCGGGTATTAAATCCTAAAGTTTTCCATAGTCACCTGAGAAGAGCGGCATGTAATTGAGATAAATAATTGAGCGCAGACCACTGCCTTCAATCTGATTGGAACTGTTCCTCGTCTCAAGTTTACACCAGAGTCACAAACGCTTAAAGATCGCTCTCTTTCTTTCCCCCAAATTTAGAATGGGGTGGTGGGTGGGGTGGGGAGTCAAGGAAATAATCAGCTGCCTGTGTTTGGAGGAATCCTCTGCTCTGCTCATTCCCCCAATCCTCACCTGCTTATATCACTACTGTTGGTGGGATGCATGCTGTAGGTGTTCTCAGCTTAGTTTGGAGACTCTTAAGCATGGTGATGGGTTTCCGCATGTGTCAGACACCCAGTTGGCCAAAAAATATCACTGTTAAATGTAATCAATTCAGCCTTGGCTGGAATGGTACAGTACAGCCGGGACAGTTTTATTTTATTTTTCTTACTAAACTGATCAGCTCTGGGGAAGGTGCCTGGGTATGTGGGTTCCATTCCATGCCCGGACCCCCAATACCCCACAGCCAGGCGCAGTGAGCGAGGGACCAATGGATTAGAGAGAGCACAGCCACCACCCAACTACTCCTACAGAGATCCCAATCACACGCAGGAGGCTTATCTTTGGTGACTCGTAAAGTGTGAATATTCCTCCCCATTTTCTGTAATATAATCTCTGTAATATAATATAACAGGGTGGTCTAACTGACGGCCCACGAGCCGCAACCGGCCCATCTGCTCCCTTCATAACCCGTAAATATTATGTGTGTTTCTGGAAGTGAAAAGACAAAAATATCATCTTTGATCTATAGAAAGACAATGGATTCAGTTTGGGCATTAGTTTCTGGAGACTAACCAAAAGCTCCTATTTGATCGGTATAGAATATTGCAAACTGTCTAGAAGATGTGAAAAGTGCTATATCAAATGCAAGGATTATTATTTATTATTATAGCGCCTTATAACATCTTCTAGAAATCTCTTAAGTGCTTCACAGAATATAATATGTTTTATGGGTGAAATGCAGCATCCAATTGTGCACAGCAGTGTTCCACGAACCGTCATGGATTAAGTGACCAAATTATTTTTATATTTTATTTTCTTTGAAGAGATTATTATCCCCGGAGAAAACGATCCACCAATCGATTAACAACTGGGTTCCTACTTAATGCTAGGTAAGCAGAGACTTGTGCAGTAAGGAAGCTTGCCTAACCAGTGAAAAGAATTAGTGGTTTCTTAAAAAATTAAGGACATTTGTAATTTCCTTTTAACACATGCCTTTACTTACACTATAATGGACCACACCTCCCTAATTATATGGTATCTCACTTTGGAGAGAAATTGGATCCTGACCTTTATATCTAAATGTAATGTAAGAACATTACATTCTGGCTCCATCCCAGTTTTATCCGTGGAGTCCTGAAGCATAGTGGATGGCGCGCTTGCAAGCGAGAGGACCAAGTTTCGATTCCCGGGCAGGGCGAACCGTTGGGCAAGTTTCCTGCCTTCACACACCTCTGTTTACCCAGCAGTAAGTCGGAACCCGGTTGTTAGTCGATTGGCGGATCATTTTTTCGGGGGTAATAATCCCTTCAAAAAAAATAATAATTTGGTCACTCAATCCACGACTGTTTATGGGACGCTGCTGTGCGCAATTGGCTGCCGCCTTTTGCTCACAAAATATACAGTCACTACACTTTAGGATATATTCTGTGAAGCGCTTTGAGACATCTCGAAGACGTGATAAGGCGCTGTATGAAGTGCAAGGATTATTATTGTTGCTGGGGCAGAGTTGCAACATTGCGGTGTCACAGGCTAAGACTGGGTGGAATTTCAGGTCTCTGCTGCTCTCGATTTTATATAAGTATTAGGAAAACTGGACGTGAGCATGCATGCACTTTTGAATTTATCTGATGGTCATCCTGTTACAAAATGTTTGGCTTGATTTTGTTTTAAGTCTGTTTTAATTATCGGAAGCAAGAGATTCATTAGGATTCCACGCACTCTCTCTGAGTTCATCTGAATCGGAGACTTTCATTGCTTTGAATTTGACTAGTGCTCGTGCTCAGCCTCCTGTCAGTAATGCAGTGGATTGAATTGACTGCTCCTTCCAAAAAGACTCCTACTCTTAGACTGTTCCCAACACCTTACCCGCACCTCTCTTCGCATGTGTATGGCCTGAACACACATGTAGTGCTTTCTTCTTCCATTTCATGTTGCCTTTGTATATATGATCGCTGCACTGAACCTAGGAATGTAGAGGACTGACAAAGACCATTGCGTCCATCTCGCCAGTCTTAACAGTTTTTATCTCAACGGTTACCATCTCTCACATCCCTTAATAGAGTTCTTTGTCAGACCGCTATCAATTTCCATTTTGAATCTGCCTCCCCTGCATTGTGCATTACACACTCACCAACCGCTCTCTGTAAAGTCTGCACTCTCTGTACACCTCTGTGTGGTGTGAGGGTCGTGTGTAGTGTGCCGTACACACTCTCTGTGTGTCCGTGTGTTGAACATTTTATTAGGTTGTTGATCTCCATCCGTTGGATGCATCTTGATTATTTCACTTCCGATCCCTTCGGTCTTCAAAGAGTTAGGTTGGTTTTCTGTAACTTGGCTAAATCACTAACTTTAACCAGTGGTAGTGTAGGTACAGTAAATCTCTGGTTTATCAGACTCCAGGTATCTGGAATATGAACCTGATAAGGCCCAGATTAAAAAAAAAGTTCTGTGAGCCCACCTGCCTGAATGTAGTCTCCCGCCAGCCCAACTCTCCTGGCACGTGCCAACGCCACCATGAATAGCCCACATGATGCCCACAGCTCCCCACCTCACCCTCCTCACTAGCCTGGCTCCGTTACACATTGTCTACGTGTAGGCCTGCTTTGGTGAGTGGGCAGAAGATAGCTGAGGTCCACACACTGTACATTTGTGCATAAAAATGAACGCAGTGTCGAGAAATGCTGGTCAGTGCATTAATGGCAATAATTATACTTAGCCAGAAATTCCGGCTCATCGAATGGGATCTCCTCCCCCTCACCACGCCCTCTCCACCCCCCCAACCCGACCCAATCCCAAGTAGCCCGGCTAGCCAGGGTTTTAGTGTATGTACATTCCAGGCAGAATATGGATTGATTTTATTTAAACCAAAGTCTTTTAAACTCACTTTTATTTTTAATAAATTGTAATTTTTGTTTTAATCATTGCTCCTGTATTTAAACTTCGAGAACGTAGAGAACTGTAAACCCAAATACAGCTTGGTTTTGCAATTTAAGCACAAAGATGTCTCCTTGATTTTTTTTCGTCTCTTCCCCCCCCCCCACCCACCCCATCGCAACACAGACTGCAATCAGCAGTGTACATCTCTGAGGAACCGTCAGCATGTCACAAGTTATGTAAGTTCCTCCGTTCACATGGAGTCCTGTAGCGTAGTGACAGACATTGTCGCACACAAGTTCCCCAATGTTACAGCGTTTCCCTGATACAACACGAAATGACATTTACACGGAGCCTTTCAAGTCGGGAGGGCGTTCCAAGAGGACTGGATAGTCGGGGATTTGGACCAGAGCTGGGGGTTGGTATCAGGAGGGGTGGAGGGCAGGGAGAGTAGGGGTAGGAGGGTAACCAAAGGCGAGGTCGAAGGGGAGGATATTGAGACGGGCTTTGAAGGAGGCGAGGCAGGGGGCGAGGCGAGGTGAAGGGACTGGGATGGTTCCAAAGGTTGGAAAGGCTGAAGGCCTGGTGTCTGATGGTAGGGCAGGCAGGATGGGAGACATTACATTGAGCTATCAGAAACAATTTGGTTGCCCTTCCTTCATAACATTTAAAAAAAGCTCTCTCTCTGTAACCAGTACTTACAGAGACAGGGTCACATAGTTTTGAAACCAGATCCTGGGGAGTGAGTTACCAGGCTGAAATCTAACCGAAGAGGTGAGTGAGAGTTGTGTATTTGTGTGTGTATATATATTTACACATATAGATTATCTTTGGAGTGAGTTACAGGCTAGAATCTAATCGAAAGTTTTTTTGGGGGGCAGGGGTTATGCTGCATATAGAAATATCAGATCCCTATCAGTGAGTTAATGGCTGGAATCTTATTGAGAGGTTTGTATATTCCTTATTATAAGTGCCTTATCATGTTGTTGAGATGTCTCAAAGTGCTTCACAGGATACACTGTAAAGTGGATTCGCTGCATTTTGTGGGTGAAACAGCAATTGCGCACAGCAGTGGATTGAGTGACCAAATTATTATTATTTTGATTTATTTGTTTTGGAGGAAATATTACCCCCGGTAAGTGATCCGCCCACCGACTGACAACCGGGTTCTTACTGACTGCTGTGTAAACAGAGACGTGTGTGGAGTAAGGAAATTTGCCTTAGGTTTTGCCCCGCCCGGGAATCGAACCCGGGTCCTCTCACTTGCGAGGGGAGCGCTCTGACCAGAGCGCTACAGGATTCCCATATAGAATAATAGGAGCGAGTTACAAGGTGTAACATATTGCAGTGTGTTATGAAACAGTTAACATGATGAGAAGTTGAGATATTGTGAACTGTACAATACAACATAATAGAAGATTTCGTAAGTCAGAAAATGGAGGTTAGTTGACCCTAAATTAGTGTTGAGTTCTGGCTGTTTGATTAGCCGCAGAGTGTTGGAGGAAGGGAAGAGTGAAGTAAGAGTCTTGTAGAGTTCAGAGGAAAGGAAACCTGAGGGAGAGTTCCCGATCTGGAGAAAATCATCCACAAAATACACAGTCACTCCACTATAAAGTATATTCTGTGAAGCCCTTTGAGACGTCTGCACGACGCGATGAGGCGCTGTGTGAAATATAAGTATTATTATAAAATAAGAAGTCACAAGGTGGTGTAATGACTGGTTATTTGGGCACAGTGAGGATACAGGGCGTGTAAGGCACCGGGGTTTATAAGCTTAGGAGGAACAAGAAAAAGTTCAGACAAGCAATGACCATCATTTCTGCTTGAAAGTAATTTTTAGTAGTTTCACACCCAGTTTCTGTCTCAAAGTTGCAGTGGCACCCCACCCCATAGAGGAATGTAAATTGGGAGGTACCCACTTTATCCTTCCCCTCCCTGGCCCACGGCAGTCTGCCTCAGATCGACTCACTTGCTCTGATTCGCTCCTAGCTTCCATATCTCACACACACAAAAAATCCTTCACAAAATAAAATGTCAGGGCAAGCGAGAGTGAGCGAGGAAGGGATTTACAATGATTCCATCCCAATAGGAAGGTTTCACACGGGTTGGTATCTCAGAGAGCTTGTAGACGAGATAAAAATAGATGTGCCGGGCAGGGCGAAACCTTAGGCAAGTTTCCTTACTCCACACACACGCCTCTGTTTACCCAACAGTAAACAGGAACCCGGTTGTTAGTCGATTGACGGATCGCTTTTCTGGGGGTGTTAAACCCTTTCTTAAAAAAAAAAGTGGTCACTCAATCCACGACTGTTCGTGGGGCACTGCTGTGCGCAATTGGCTGTTGCATTTCGCCCAGAAAATATGCACAGTCACTGCACTTTACAGTACATTCTGTGAAGTGCTTCGAGACGTCTCAACGACATGATAAGGTGCTATACCAAAAGGATGATTATCATTAGGGTTGGGTGCTGTAAGGATAAGATGAGTTGGGCGTTCTTCACCTGGAACCTCTGTTGTGACCTTGTGAGTCAAGAACATCTTTGAAGCCGCCCATCCTCAGGCAAGACAATTATGGTTGAGAGGTGTTGTTTTACTCAAAGCTTCAGTTACGGTACAGGGACAGTGCAGCAAGGACCATCATTGAATTGACTCCTCAGCTCACCATTGTGAGACGTTGCCGACACAGGTTGAGTGTCACATTTCTTGAGCTTACGTTCTGTATTGAACACGTGTTCATCATGTCCAGATTTGCGTCAAGTTAGGTACAGGCCACCTTTGGGTGGCTGTTCCACAACTCCTTCCTCCTCAAAGCGCATCACAAGATATAAAGTGCAGTGACCGTGTATTTTATGGGCGAAATGCGGCAGCCAATTGCACGCAGCAGCGTCCACAAACCCACGCGGATTGTGTGACCGATTTTATTTGGGGGAATTGTTGGCCAAGACGCCGGGAGAGAAACCCCTTCCTCTTTTCGAACAGCAACATGGGATCTTTAACGTCCACCTTGAAAGGCAGGTGGGACCTTGGTTAACGTCTCACGGGAAAGATGGAGATTCTAAACACGTAGACGTACAAAGAGAGAAATGCATACACAAGGAGAGAGAGAGAGAAATAGCGAGGGATGTGTACACACACGCACAAATAGAGAGAGACACGCACATACAAAAAGAGCATGAGACAGTCCCACGCATACAGAGAGAAAAACACGGACAGAGATAGTGGAATATACACATATCCAGACAGACAGACCGAGAGAGAGAGAGAGAGCGGAACTCGCTCACAAAGTCTCTTTACCTCAGGATTATTATAAAACGAATAAACACCAAAATTGGGCTCAAAATATGTTTTAATAAATAAGATAGAAAATAGGACTTTCTCAGTCGCCCGTTACCTTAGCCCAACTTTCATTCAACTCTTATCAGTTCTAAAAACAAAACAGAGCCTAACTTTATGAAACCTCATTCGTGAATTAGGTCAGAATCCTATTAATATTCTTCATCTCCCTCTTCATCACCCTCAAAAGAGTCGATACCCACCTCCTCATAGTCCTTTTCCAAGGCCGCCATGTCCTCACGAGCCTCGGAGAACTCCCCCTCCTCCATCCCCTCCCCCACGTACCAGTGCACAAAGGCACGCTTGGCATACATTAGATCAAACTTGTGGTCAAGCCGAGCCCAGGCTTCAGCTATGGCTGTGGTGTTGCTCAGCATACACACTGCACGCTGCACCTTGGCCAGGTCACCACCGGGCACCACAGTGGGAGGCTGGTAGTTGATGCCAACCTTGAACCCAGTTGGGCACCAGTCCACAAACTGAATGGAACGTTTGGTTTTGATGGCAGCAATAGCACAGTTGACGTCTTTTGGCACTACGTCACCTCGGTAGAGCAGGCAACATGCCATGTACTTGCCATGACGAGGGTCACACTTGACCATCTGGTTGGCTGGCTCAAAGCAGGAGTTGGTGATCTCAGCCACAGACAGCTGCTCATGGTAAGCTTTCTCAGCCGAGATCACAGGGGCATAGGTGGCGAGAGGGAAGTGGATACGTGGGTATGGCACTAAATTGGTCTGGAACTCGGTCAGATCTACATTCAGAGCACCGTCAAAGCGAAGGGATGCTGTAATAGAGGAGACAATCTGGCTAATGAGTCTATTTAGGTTAGTGTAAGTTGGACGTTCAATGTCCAGATTTCTACGACAGATATCATAGATGGCTTCATTATCTACCATGAAGGCACAGTCTGAGTGCTCGAGGGTGGTGTGGGTGGTGAGGATGGAGTTGTAGGGTTCCACCACCGCTGTGGAGACCTGAGGAGCAGGGTAGATGGAGAACTCCAGCTTCGATTTCTTGCCAAAGTCAACAGAGAGACGCTCCATCAGCAGGGAAGTGAAGCCGGAGCCAGTGCCTCCCCCGAAGCTGTGGAAGACAAGGAAACCCTGGAGCCCAGTGCACTGGTCCGCCTACAGAAGAGACCACAAACAGGCATTGGCATTAGTCAAAGTCAAAACCCGCAGATCTGGATGTCATTGCGAGTCGTGCAGGAGGAATGGCTTACCAGCTTGCGGATCCTGTCTAGGACAGAATCAATGATCTCCTTGCCAATGGTGTAGTGCCCACGGGCGTAGTTATTGGCAGCATCTTCCTTGCCACTGATGAGCTGCTCGGGGTGGAACAGCTGGCGATAGATACCAGTACGGATCTCATCTGGAAGTTAGACCCAGCAGAGGTTACATTCCAGGGTTCTGTGTTTGCTGCATTCGAGTAGTCAACCTTCAACTGCTCTGCCCTGCTCTCCGATCCGTTCTCCCAAAACCCCTCTGCACTCTCTCTCTCTCTCTTCTCTCAAAACCCCCTCTCTGACTATATGCATTTGGTCAACCTTCTGAAATTCTCCTCCTTGCCTTGTTTGGTGAAGCACTTTGAGCCGTCTCAACGACTTGATAAGGCGCTATGTCAAATGCGTGCATTACTATTAGACAAACAGGCCCAGTATATTATGAAGGGACAACAACAGCAGCAAATTACATTTCAATCACGGGAGGAACGTCCAAGGAGCTGGACATTCAGGGATTTGGACCCAATCTGGGGTTTGGTATCAAGAGGAATGGAGGGCAGGAGGGTAGGGGTTGGAGGGTGACTGAAAGCACAGTCGAATAGGGTCTTGAGACGGGCCTTGAATGAGGCAAGGGAGGGGGCAAGCAAAGGGGCTCTGGGATGGAGTTCCAAAGGTGGTGAAGAGAGGCCAAAGGCCCGACTACTGATGGTGAAGCGGGCAGGCTAGGTTGGGGGACATGGAGCAGGCCAGAGTCCATTGAGCTATCGATACAAACAATTTGGCTGCCCTTTCTTAACATTTAATGGAACGCAAGAGGGCAGGGAGGGTGGTGGTAAGACATGGGGAGAGAGCTGGAAAGTGTGATTAATAATAAACTACGACGATGCAGGGGGCAGTGATACAGACACAATGGGCCAAATAGCCTCCTCCAGCGGCGACTGACCATAACCAACCAATGGCAGATGAAGGACATGTGAGCCAGTGAGCTCTCTGTACTGTACTGACCGATCACTGTGGGCTCCAGGTCCACAAGGACGGCTCTGGGCACGTGCTTCCCAGATCCCGTCTCACTGAAGAACGTGGTGAAGGAGTCGTCCGATATCCCGATGGTCTTCACTTTTTGACCCTTGATCATCTGCCCGTCAGGCTGGATGCCATGTTCCAGGCAGTACAGCTCCCAGCAGGCATTGCCCATCTGGACACCGGCTTGGCCAACATGGATAGAGATACATTCACGCTGGAGAGAGAGAGAGACGACAGAGGAAAGGTTACCTTGGGCTTCCGTACCACACCGCATTATGCGTCAGGTGTAAACCATGTGCACGGAGGGAATTACAACGGCCCTTAACCATGTAAGTAACAATCAAACATTTGCACGTGGCACACAGTACACACACGTTTACACATGGGGACGTGTGTACATGTGTGTTTATTGTGCACCAGATGCAACAAGGAGATCACAGGAGATTAACTGGAAATTAAAGGATTATTGTTCTGGAGGCAAACATAACAACCAATCTACAGCAGCCAGAAATCAGAAGGAGGTTTGGGGTGAATCGTACTAAAAATCCTCGCATTTGATACAGCGCCTCATCATGTCTTCAAGACGTCTCAAAGCGCTTCACAGGATACCCTGTAAAGTGTAATGACTATGTATTTTGTGGGCGAAACGCATGGATTCAGACAGGGCGTCAAGAACGGGATGGTCAATACCTTTTTAGAAAAAAACTTGTATTTGATATGAGTTATTGTTGCGCAGTCGAAATATTTAACGGGTAACATCTTTAAAAATGTATATATATTTTAAAAATAAAATAAAAGTTTGGGCACTTAATCCACGACTGGTTGTGGGGACGCTGCTGTGCACGATTGGCTGCCGCGTTTCGCCCACAACACACCCAGTCGCTGCGCCTGACAGTATATTCTGTGGAGCGCTTTGCGACGTCTCGATGGGATAAGGAGCGATATCAAACGAAGGATTGTTATTGTTACACAGCGTGCGGTCATTAAACAGACAGAAAAGCGAGGCGTCAGAGGGGTTGGGGCCCAGCTGAATCATCGTCACGTCCTCCCTATCTGAAAGCAAAGGCGTTGTGCGATCCTGTCTGGGCCGCCATCCAGTCAGTCAAGGCTCCCCTTCCCCCCCCACCCTTTCCCACCAACGATTAAGTGAAGGTGATTCTGCATGTAAGTAGGTTAAAGGTATCAGTATGTCACATTAATTGCATCGAGTGGTTTGTTGCTGCTTGTACCAGGTGCTCATAGTCATTTCACTGCGATGGCTCAAAGGGAAGAAATTTCACACCACCCAACCAGTATTTTACCCGGTGACAGCAACGTAAATTTTTTTTGCCCACAAACTACACAGTCGCTACGCTTTACAGCGTATTCTGTGAAGGGCTTCGAGACGTCTCGGCGACGTGATAAATGCAAGATCAAATGCAAGAATTATTATTATTTTTCTAGCATCGTAGAAAAATCGTACGGCAACTATAGTCTGTCCTGATCTGGGGCTCTACGTTTCTTTTAAGTGGACACGTAAAGCTGTGCATCTCAAGTGTGGACTTGTCTTTCTCTCTCTCTCTCTCTCTCTCTCGCCCTCCACTTCCTCCTAAGATTAAAAATTCTGAGGATCTCAGCATTAAGAGAACTGTATTAATATTTAAGTGATTCTGGAGATCGTTCAAAATTTTAATCTTAATTTAGAACCCAGTTTATTAAGAATTGCAGAAAAACTTTTAAATCAAGAAATTTACTCCCCCCAAAAAATTCTTCACAACCTTAACTTTTAACAACAACAACAACAAGATTCCATTTATAGAGCGCCTTTCACGTCGGGAGGACGTCCCAAGGCGCTGGACAGTTGGGTCAGGACCCGAGCATTGGGGGGAAATGGTGACGGGAGGGAAGGGAGGGAGCGAGGAGGGGGGAAATGGTCAGGGTGAGGGGAGGGAAGGGAGGGAGCGAGGAGGGGGTAGAGAGTCGAGAGCGGAGCTGAAGGCACAGTCGAAGAGAAAGGCCTTGAGACCGGCCTTGAAGGAGGAAAGGGAGGAATCGGCGAAGGCACTGGGGATGGAGTTCCAGAGCCTCGGGGCTGAGAGGCTGAAGGCCACTGATGGTCGGGCGGTTGGGGCGGGGGATGTGGAGCAGACCGGAGCCGGAGGAACGGAGGGTACGGGCAGGTAGGTAGGGGGATAGTAGGTCGGAGAGGTAGGAGGGAGTGAGGCCGTGAATGGCCTTGTAGGTGAGGATGAGGATCTTGAATTCGATCCTCTGGGGGATGGGGAGCCAGTGGAGGTGAGCGAGGGTGAGGGTGAGGGCGAGGGTGGGAGTGATGTGGTCGCGGTGTCTGGTGCGGGACAGTACATGAGCTGCAGAGTTCTGAATGACCTGCAGTGTGGAGGGAGGGCCGGGAAGGCCGCGAGGAGAGAGTTCCCATAGTCCAGCCTTGAGGTGACAAAGGCGTGGACCAGAGTTTCAGCCGCGTGAGGGGTGAGGTAGTGCCGTAGTCTGGCGATGTTTCGGAGGTGATGGAAGGCGGTGCCAGTTGTGGCGCAGATATGAGGGAGAAAGGACAGCTCAGGGTCGAACAGAACCCCGAGATTCCTGATGGCTTTGAGAGGTGGAGAGTGCGGAGCTGATGCTGTCAGCGCCTGAGGTGCGGAGGCGCTGACGTGAGCCAATCAGGAGGGCCTCGGTTTTACGCACGTTGAGCTGAAGAAAGTTGTCTCTCGTCCAGGACTCGGTGTCGGACAGATGTCGGTGGGAGTGATGATGGCAGTTTTTAAGGGAATGGGGACAGAGCCAGAGGAGAGGGACAGGTTGACGATGTCTGTGATATGTGGGGCAGGAGGTGGAGCTGGGAGATAAGGAGTGGAGTGGGGATGGGGTCAAGGGAGCAGGTGGTGGGTTTCAGGGATAGGATGAGTTTGGTGACAGAGGATGGGGAAACGGGTACGAAAGTGTGTAGGGGAGGATGGGTAGGAGTCGGAGTGTGGGAGGGAGGGGGTGGGGGTTGGGTGGATGTTGGAGGGGAAGTGACCGCGGAGTGAATTCCCTTGATCTTGGATTCAAGGAAATCCAGCATCTCCTCGCAGTGAAGGTTGGAGGAGATGACCTGCGCGGGGTGGCGGGGGGGACGGAGGAGTCGGGATGTGGTAGAAAACAGTAGCCTGGGGTTGTTCTTCGCCTCCAGGATTATCCTGGAGTAGAAGGACGACTTGGCCGAGGCTGGAGTGGAGCGGTAGATTTTGAGGAGGTCCAGACAGATTTGTCGGTGGACCGTTAGAAAGCTGCGGAAACACTATCACGGTGAAAACAACTAGTAAACGGATGGAACAGGCTCCCTGGGGAGACCGACAGCCGGTGGAAGCAGAAAGTGGTGATTCTTTCAAAAGTAAACGAGGGAGATGTCTGTTAGGAAATACGGTGCATAGTTTGGGACACGACATGTCAAGCAACTGCCAGGACAGGATGGACCTTGGTCTTCTTTCATCTAACAATTCTTATGTTCTTATGTTCTTTCAATCCAACATCTTAAGGCTGCGACGGTGTGGAATTTGGGGCCTCAGATGACCTCACCGAAGCATTGCTCCAGAGGGCTGGGAGTGAGCGAGCAGGAGGTAGGGCGGTATTGTGCATTCACCTTGAATTCACGGCAAGGATGAGCGCTTTAAAGTTCACCCGAAACAGCCCCTTTATCACACCGTCGAGACGTCTCAAAGCGCTTCGCAGAATATACTGTAAAGTGTCGTGACTGTGTATTCTGTGGGCGAAACGCGGCAGCCAATTGCGCACAGCAGCGTCCCCCGCAAACAGCCGTGGGTTGAGTGACCAATTTTTGTTTGGGGGGATATTATTACCCCCAGAAAGCGATTCTCCAACCAACTAACACCCAGGTTCCTACTTATTGCTGGTAAACAGAGGCGTGTGGCGTAAGGAAACTTGCCCAAGGTTTCGCCCTGCCCGCGGGCTCGGGTCCTCTCGCTTGCGAGGCGGGGGCTCTAACCACTACTCTACGGGACTCCTTGTGTAGCAGCTTTCATGCACCTTTTTTTTTAAATGTCCCGTGTGTGGAGACTCCTCTAACAGCTTTCTCCATTCAATCCCTCTCTCTCTCTCTCTCTCTCTTTCTTTTTCTCTCCTCCCTTCCCCCACACTCTCACCCGCTCCAACACAGAAAACAACATGTACGGCGCGGGGGAAGGAATGTAAAGGGTGCAGCAACTGTGCTGACACACTCCCCGAATAACCTGTTCCTCAGCTGTTGCTCACATGAGACACAATAATAAGCGCAGTCTCACTGCGGAGCACCTGTCGGTGGCCAAGGCATTGGAGCTCTCTCCTCTAATCCCATTCCCTTGCTCTTTCCCTGTGTCCTTTTATATTGATCTTGAAATACATATGATTAATAATATTAATATTGATTCATTAATTATAATAATACTCAGGATAATATTGGGGTTGGGATAATAATCCTTGCATTTGATATATCGCCTTATCATCGTTCAGACGTCTCAAAGCGCTTCACAGAATACAATGTAAAGTGGAGTGACTGTATTTTCTGGGCTAAACGTGGCAGCCAATTGCACACGGCAGTGTCCCACGAACAGTCGTGGATTGTGTGACCCATTTTTTTTTTTTTTTTTTGGAGGGCTTATTACCCCCACCCGGAAAGCGATCCACCGATCGACCTAACAACCGGGCTCCCACTTACTGCAGAGGCGTGTGGGGTAAGTTAGAGAGTTAAGAGAAACACGGCTGAAGGTTTTGTGTGAAACATAAATGCTAAACCCACACGCCTCCCGGAGTGTTGATGATCTGGTGCGCTTGTCTCAGCACGTCAGACTGGTATCTGAGTGGAAGGTCGCCCAGAGCCTCAGCGTCTCTCTTCCTCTTTCCTCGCTCCCCTCAACCCCCCCCCCCCCACCCCCAACGCTCCAATCTGCTTTGGTGTTGATTTGGTTCCATAGTCTCGTGACCAGAGCACTCGCCGCGCAAGCGAGAGGACCCGAGTTTGATTCCTGAGCAGGGCAAAACCACGGGCAAGTTTCCTTACTCCGTTGCAAGGATTATTATTTTTATTATTATTATTTGATAAAAAAAAACAACCAATTGTGTTTCAGTCAGATGTCCAGATGTCGGTGGGTTAACTGATGGGGCTCTAACTGGCCTCAGTGCCCTTGTGTTCAGGACAGGGTTAAGTCCGCCAGCGATCGTGCCCCACAGGTTTCCCTCCCTGCGCAGTCCATTTTCCAAAATAAACATAGTCACAGCAACACTCTTATATACAGCAAGTGACAGCGGCCTTGTATGATACTTAATCACTTGCTAAATTTAACCTGCGATGCCCTCAATTTATTACAGAGAGCAGTCAGTGACAGCAGTCCATCCCGTCACAGGCTGTTTACAGCACACAAGGTCATGTCTGTGCTGCTACTCCCTCCCCCACTGGAGCTCTCGAATCCAATCCCAATTTCCTGCTATTTCCCCATATCCTTTTATCCTTCATCAGATAAATATCCAATTCCTTTCTCACATTGTTGTGGTTTTAGCCTCAATCAGACACGTCTCTCCCCACAGATTAACCGCTGTGTTTTCTCGCATTGTTTCTAACCAATTATGTTCTGCGCAGTGTTTGAGACGCCTATTTGTCTGCGTGGCCGGAACTGCATAAATGCAAGTTATTGCTATTGTCTCACTCTCCCTTACACACACAAACAGGATTGACTGCTGTTAGAACAGCTGGCTCGAAATTCCTTGGGCGGCTCGATCCCTGTGCTGGGGTTTGACAGCACTTTGCCGCTCGGCCGTCAAGTTCATGTGGTTATATATAAAAGGCTGTGTGTGTGAGTGAGTGAGTGAGTGTGAGTGAGTGAGTGAGTGAGTGAGTGTGTGGGGGGGGGCAATATTCTATGATAACTCTGGCGTGTGACTGAAGTTTCAGATGAACCTGCTGCCTATTTTGGTTACTCCCGATCTATTATCTATTTTGGGCAGTTAGTGATCTTGATCTCCTTCCCTATCTCAGGGATCGTCACGGACTCTCAGTCTGCAGTGCAGTGGTTAGCGCGCTCGCCGCGCAAGGCGAGAGGACCCGGGTTCGATTCCCGGGAGGGCCGAATAAACCTTAAGCAAGTTTCCTTACTCCACACACTCTGTTTACCAGTAATAAATAGGAAGTCAGCTGTTAGTCGATTGGCGGATCACTTTCCGGGGGTAACAATCCCTCCATAAACATTTTTAAAAATGTAGTCGCTCAATCCAGGACTGTTTGTGGGGACTCTGCTGTGCGCAATCGGCTGCCGCGTTTCGCCCACAAAATACACAGTCACTACACAGACTTCCGCCGGAGGTCAGAGCCTCCGCTTGTCGTCTGACTTGTTGGTTCCCGTCACTGCTCACAGGCTCAGTGTGAGGCCGTTTTCCTGATCGCTCGACCCACTGCGTTAGTTGTCATGTTAATACTGCGTCCTGTTGCTCTGGATTATTAGCTCGTCCCCGGCAGCGAGCAGCGAGGGGGGGGGGTGGGGGGTGGAGGCGGGGAGGGGGGGGGGGGTCGCTCCATGTTACAGCACATTCTGTGAAGCGCTTGGAGACGTCTCAGCGACGTGATTAGGTGATATATCAAATGCAATGATGATTATTAATTATTATACAGATATTTCCCTGTGTCTGGAATGACATGTCCTGACAGAACAGGGCGCCGCCTGGTGGTCAGTGTGAGTAACTGCAAGGTCCCACACACCAGATTCCGTGTCCAAACTTTGGCATTTCCCAACTCCGAACTAACCTTTATTTCTTTCTTTTCTCTTTAAAATGTCACTAAATAAAAGGACACTTCAATTTTGAAATCAAACCTTTCTCCCCCCCCCCCACCCCCCCCCCCCCCCCCCCAACCCCTCCCTCGACCTTCGGATTCCGTTTCCAATTGCAATTTTTGATTAAAAAAATCTATATACATATTTGCCTTTTACATTTATAATTCTGTTTATTCCAAGCACATGACGGGTTAAAAGTGGGAATTGTCAAGTGGACAGGAGTTTTTTTAAACACCCAAAACTTGATTTATTCCCAGAAAATTGCAATGATTCATGTCCTGTACAGTCACACTTGCCAGAAAAACTTCAGACAGACACACACACACATATGTTTCTAACCCCTTCACTCCAAATTTCAGGACAAATCAGCCATTCACAAACTGCCCACATACTGTTAGTTAGTAGATATCTGAAGCCCAGACTTACCATGGTGAAGCCTGGTGTTTGGGAGCTGAAAGGCTTTGCTGGTGTCTCACACTGAGCCTATGAAGGGTTCCTGTGAGCTCCTACTTATGGATGTGCTCCCACCCTCCTCTCCTATTTAACCTTCCCACACCCAGAGTGGAGGTGTGACTGGCACCCAACGCCAGCCCACACTCCAGGTGTGTGTGTGACAGGCTGCAATATACTGTACACACACAGGCAAGCTCACCAGGTGTGGCTACAGCCCTGGCACACACACACACACACACACATTATTATAATATTCATAATAATGTAGAATCCTGCAAACAAGTGAGAGGACCTGGGTTTGATTCCCGGGTGGGGCGAGACCCACAAGTCTCCTTAATCCGCGCGCCTCTGTTTACCAGCAGTAAGTAGGAATGCCATTGTTAGTCGATTGGTGGATCGCTTTCCAGGGTCACTAATCCTCCAAAAAAAAATAATTTAGACATTCAATACACGACTGTTTGTGGGGACACTGCTGTGCGCAATTGGCTGCCGTGTTTCACCACAAAATATACAGTCAATTCACTTTACAGTATATTCTGTGAAGCGCTTTGAGACGTCTCGAAGACGTATTAAGGCGCTGTATCAAATGCAAGGATTATTAATAATGGATTTACACCCTTGCAATAATAACCCAGTCAGCACTCCAGGACTCTACCCCACGTGAGGGGCACTATAAAAATCCCAAGTTGTTGTTGTAATGCACTTGAGTATCAGCCTGGACTGTGGTGAGTTCACGCCCATAGTGCCCAACAGTGCGTGTGAATAATTGTAACATCCCAGATTAAAAGGCTGGGATATTTATACATCCACACAAGGCATAGACAGACACGTATGCACTCCTCGTGTGGTTCACAGGCTGTGACTCACAGACAATATACAGCAGGTGTACCTCCCTGCATCGAGATCCCCTTAAGCCCAGATACCGAGATCAGCTAAATCAGGCAGAGCAGCGATTGGAATCTATCCCACATCAGGACTTGGATTCACATCGTCTAAGTCGAGCGTCTCTCTCCCGGTGTCCTGGCCAACAATCCCCCCAAATAAAATTGGTCACTCGTTCCACGGCTGTTTGTGGGACCGGTTGTGCGCAATTGGCTGCCGAGTTTCGCCCACAAAATCACAATGAATCCACATTACAGTATATCCCGTGAAGCGCTTTGAACATCCTTCCGATGTGATAAGGCACTATACAAATGCAAGGATTATTATTATTATTATTATTATTATTATTATCACCAATCTTGGTTTGTCATGGCTCATTGACAACAACCAATTGCATTTATACAGCGCCTTTCACGTCGGGAGGTGGTCCCAAGGCCCTGGGCAATGAGGGGTTTGCATCTGACCTGGGGGTTTGGATCAGAGAGGGGTGGAGGGCGGGGGAGGGAAGATGACCGAAGGCACGGTCGAAAAGGAAGGTCTTGAGACGGGCCTTGAAGGAGGCGAGGGAGGGGTGCGTCACTCGGTGTCAAAGCACCCCATCCAAAGGGGAAGTCAGTCCATCTCACGGCCAGGATTATTCACTTGGATGACTGTGTTGCTTTGAGCACCCGCAGGATCAGAACGAGGCGAGTCCACACTCGGTGTACGCACAACACAACGCTGCCATCGTGTGTCTGTTTCAGTCACAATCAGCTGTTGCTGTCGGGCAGTTTGTGACCTGCAGAGGGAACTGGAGATAAATTGTATTTTGTCTTATCACATTGAAACTGAAGTGCTTCACAGGTTCTTCATCGTTTAAGATTTCCACCTCGTTGTTTAGTCATTCCCTTTCACCTCTCGTACTCCCCTCACGATAATAACAATAATAATCCTTGCATTTCATATAGCGCCATTATCACATCTTCGAGATGTCTCCAAGCGCTTCCCGGGATATACTGTAACGTGAATTGACTATACTTTGTGGGTGAAACGCGGCAGCTAATTGCGCACAGCAGTGTCCCACAAACAGTTGTGGATTGAGTGACCAAATTATTATTGTTTTTTGTAGGGATTATTACCCCCTGGAAAAGCGATCCGCCAATCGACTAACAACTGAGTTCCTACTTACTGCTGGGAGACAGACTTGTGTGGGGTAAGAAAACCTATCCAACCTTTCATCCTGTCGGAAATCAAACCCAGGTCGACAAACAACCAGGTTCCTGGTTACTGCTCGGTTAGCGGAGAGGTGCGGAGTAAGGGAACTGGCCTGAGATTTCGCCCCGCCCGGGAATCGAACCCGGACCCCTGGCGTTTGCGATGCGAGGAGGGTGGAGGGTGGGGGACGGGGGGNTATGTGCAGCATTGCGTAAAAAAAAGAGAGAGAGAGCACTGATGGGCAGAGAGTCCTGATGCTCAAGAGCTGGGACTATTTATTACTTCCCTTTGCTTACCCTCTCCTGCTCTTTCACCCCCTCTCCCCCCTCCCACCCACCACCTCCCATATCTTCAGCCACTGGCAATCCAGTCATTGTTATTATCATTACGACGACTGAGAAACTCAGCAGTTAATGCGTAACGATAATAATCCTTGCATTTGACCCGGCGCCTGATCGCGTCGTCGAGACGTCTCAAAGGGCTTCACGGGATACACGGTCGAGTATCGCGACTGCCTATTTTGTTGGGCGAAACGCAGCAGCCAATTGCCTGCAGCAGCGTCCCCCACACACACAGTCGTGGGCTGAACGACTTTTGTTTTGGAGGGATTATTATGCAAGGTTATTACTTATTATTACTGTGCTAAGTGTAACCATGTGCTGATTTTAATAGACCTAAACTGAGGAAAGCGATGGGTTTGAGCCACTGGTCAATTTATTATCCAAAACTCAAAGCACAGCAGATGCTGGAAATCTGAAACATGGAGAGAGGGAAGTAAGTCAACGTTTCAGGTCCACAACACTTTGCCAGAACTCAACTTATTATATTGCACTATTGGTTGTCACGCTCTCTACCCCCCTCCCCCCTTTCCCCGCCTTTCCCCCCCGTATGTTGGCATCTGTTGACCCTTTTCTCAAGGCAATTGGAAGCTGTTGGTCAGCAAGCTTAATAATGTGTAACTTCAGCATTTATTAGAAACTCGATTTAAAAGTGATTGCGGCACTGAAGATTTATCCATCTCGGTTTCCATTTTCCACTGGAATATCTTGGCTGAATGTGCGTAGTCTTTAGCAATGATCTGACCTTGAACATCCCGTTGCCGAAACCTCTGGCCTTCTGAATGTAACCTGATCCCCAGCCACTGTTGGGCTCCTGCCATCTGTCTCAGTTAACCCTTTCTGTTCTCCCGTGCGAATAACAATAATAATAATAATCCCTGCGTTTGATACAGCGCCTTATCACGTCATTGAGACGTCTCAAAGCGCTTCACAGAATATACTGTAAATTGAATTGACTGTATTTAGTGGGGGAAACGCGGCAGCCAATTCCGCACAGCAGTGAGCGTCCACAAACAGTCCTGGATTGAGTGACCAAATAATTTTTTTTATTTTACTTTTTTTTTAAAAGAGATTATTACTCCCAGAACAGCGATCCGCCAATCAACTAACAACCGGGTTCCTACTGACTGCTGGTAAACGGAGGCGTGTGGAGTAAGGGAACTTGCCTAAGGTTTCTCCCTGCCCGGGAATTGAACCCGGGTCCTCTCGCTTGTAAGGTGAGCGTTCTAACCACTAAGATACAGGACTCCACAATAAGGCACTATATCAAATGCAAATACGATTGTAAGTTTCCTTACTGTTTCCAGGGTGAGATTGTGTGTGTAAATATGTTCTTTATGTCACACGCAGTTTCGCCTCCACACACACACACACACACACACACACACACACACACAGTCGTGCGTCCCCCCCACACATACACAAACATCAGACCGCCTCTCACAATCGCAAACAGTCGCCCCACCTTCCCCCACAAAACCCACAATCGCTCCCATCAAAACACAGACACTTACAGTCACCCCCTCACCCATTCAGCCACACCTCACACAGTCATCCTCCACCCCACACACATATTGACCCTGCACCCCAGAGTCACTCCCCCCTTCCCACTCACACACATACACGGTCATTCCCCCCCCCCACACACGCAATCACCATGTACACAAGTCATCCCACCCCCCCCCCCCACACTCACGCACGCACTCCCACAATCTGAGACGTTACCCCATGTGAAGATTGCTATATATAGACACTTACAATAATAATAATCCTTGCATTTGATATAGCGCTTTTCACGTCGGGAGGACGTCCCAAAGCGCTTCACAGCCCACATACTCACACACACACACACACACACACACAGAGTTCCCCCCCACTCTCCCCATGTGCTGCCTGGTTACATAATCCCACAAACCGGCCAAACTTCTCTTGGCGCCTGACTGAACAAACCTCTCGAAAAGACACGTAACTAAATATCTACGAGGCGTGAGCTCAGAGCCCAGTGTTAATTGTGTGTGACAGAGGGAGAGGTTTGTTTGTAATCTGGGAACTGGGAGGAGGGAGTGTTCTGGCCTCAGTGATATCGCATATCAACCCTCAGCCACTGCCGTTGACTGCAGACAAATGCTCACACACCCCTCCCGACCCCACGCGGTGCGGTTTCCATACCTACTCACAACACAACTCCTTCTGAGCAACAGACTTACTGAGAACACGGACTGCCTTTCAAAATCACCTGCAAAAAATAAAAAATGCAGAGATTTATAACAATAATAATCCTAGCATGTGATGCAGTGCCTTATCACGTCTTTGAGACGTCTCAAAGCGCTTCACAGTAAAGTTGATTGACTGTATATTCGACTGTTTGTGGGGACGCTGCTGTGCACAAACTATACAGTCAACTCACTTTACAGTGTATCCTGTGAAGTGCTTTGAGACGTCTCGAAGACGTGATAAGGCGCTGGATCAAATGCCGGGATTATTATTAGTTAAAAAAAGCAACAACAATGTGAACTGAAGGAATAAGGCTTCTGGTTAAAGGCTGTGTTTGTGGGGAGGAACTTGGGCATTGGATTAATAATAATCCCTGCATTTGGTACAGCGCCTTATCACGTCATTGAGACGTCTCATAGCGCTTCACAGGATACGCTGTAAAGTGTAGTCACTGTATTTTGTAGGCAAAATGCAGCAGACGATTGCGCTGAGTCTAACCGCCAACACCAGTGCCCTGTGTAGACTGGTTTCACTGTGCGGCTTGATTGATGGCAGTTTTCAGTGTTGTGATTCAGTTCAGTGGAGAGGTTGGTTGGTTTCCTGGGGAAGCCTGACCTGGCATTGTGTGCGATTATAATCCCAGCTCCTGTTGCTAGCAACAAAGGCTGGGGCTTGTGTGTCAGCCACTGGTATAAATTCAGACACTCGAGACACCCCCAGACAACACCGAGACTTCTTCGACGATTGCTGGGGGTCGCAAGAGAGAAGCACAGGACAATGGTGAGTCTCCTGGCTTTGCTCAGAGCGTGCGGATTGCGCCAAGTGGAAATAGCGAGAGAACGGGGTGTATGTGCAGGGAATCATAAAATAATTAGTGCAGCGCCTTTCATGTTGGGTAATGTCTCAAAGTGCCTCACCAAGACAACGGGGGTAGAGGGGAAGCTTAGAGGTGTTAACCAACAGCACAGCCAAAGGTTTTTAAGAGGGTTTTGAAGTCAGAGGTAAGGAGGAGGTATGATTGTGAATGGATTATATAATTAGAAATCCTTTTACCAATTTCTCAGTCATTAATTCAGCAACAACCATTTGCATTTATAGCGCACCTTTCACATCAGGAGGATGTCCCAAGGCACTGGACAGTTGAGGGTTTGCGCCCAAGCTGGGGGATTAATTCACAGGGGCTAAGGGTGTGGGTGGGAAGGATGACTGAAGGTTAAAGAGGAAAGTCTTGGGATGGACCTTGAAGTAGGGGAGGGAAAGGGTAAGGTGAAATTCACATCTCATCCACTTTGTGTCACTATGCCCCGAGGCTCTGGAACTGCGTTCCTCACTCCCTTCGTCTCGCTCGCTCCCTCTCTTCCCATTTTCAGGTCTCTGCTGAAGACCTTTCCTTTCGACCGCCTTTGGTCATCTTCCTCCCCCTCCCGCTGGCTCGGTCCCGGGATCCGAAACTGTAAAGCGCTCTGAGACGCCGTCCGGCGTGGAGGGCGCTGTATAAAATGTACAAAATCCAAGTTGTTATTGTTGTGAGTTAGGAGGACATGAAGTTGAGCTTTAAAGTTGGTTTCCTCCAGTTTCTTGTCAAAGAATTTACATAAAACCGGCTTCAACATTAAGAGAAAATCCAGACCCATGTGGAATTTCTCCCCTCCTGTGTGTCTCTTCTTGTCTATTCCTTAGATTTTTTTCCTTTCTGTCCAAATGTGACGTGTTTCTGCTTCTTTCCTTCTCTCTGCAGCGTGAATGTATCTCTGTCCATGTTGGCCAAGCCGGTGTCCAGATGGGCAATGCCTGCTGGGAGCTGTACTGCCTGGAACATGGCATCCAACCTGACGGGCAGATGCCCAGTGATAAGACCATCGGAGGGGGTGACGACTCCTTCAACACGTTCTTCAGTGAGACGGGAGCTGGGAAGCATGTCCCACGAGCTGTCTTTGTCGATTTGGAACCAACTGTGATCGGTAAGTTGGAGGTGAGACTGTTAACAGGATGTCCTTTGAGAATAAACCAATCCTTTGTGCCTTGTGCTTCAATACATGATTGAAGTCCTGGCAAAAATTCAAATAGGCAGAGTGCCAAATCCGATTGTAATTTTGTCCCAGTCAACACACCAAATTTCTATGTGTAGGTGACATACATATGTGGAGAGAGTTTCTCTCTCCTGGTGTCCTGTTCACCAATCTCCCGGTAAAATGGGTCAATCACTTCATGGCTGTTTGTGGGACGTTGCTGTGCGCAAATTGGCTGCTGTGTTCGCCTACAGGTGCACAGTCACTATATTTTACAGTGGAAATCCTGTAAAGAAGTTTCAGTAATAATAATCCTTGCATTTGACATAGCGCCTATTCACATCTTCATCTGAAAGTGCTTCACAAAATATACTGTAAAGTGAATTGACTGTATATTTTGTGGGTGAGACTCGGCAGCCAATTGCGCACAGCAGCGTCCCACAAACAGTCGTGGAATGAAGTGACCAATTTATTATAAGTTTTTTGAAGGAATTATTACCCCTAGAAAACCGATCTGCCAATCGACTAACTACCGAGTTCCTACGTACTGCTGGTTAACCAGAGGCGTGTGGAGTAAGGAAACTTGCCCAATATTTCACCTTGCCCGGGAATCGAACGCAGGTCTCTGGCTTGCGAGGCAAGTGCTCTAACTGTTGAGCTACAGGACTCCACAATGACAGGTGTGCTGGCAGGAGGATGTATGCATGTATGTATATATGTATAGATCTGTGCAGATGCACTTGCAAAGAAGCGCTGAAGGGATCTCAGCTCAGTTGTCGTGGTTCTTCATTGTAGATGAGGTCCGCAGTGGTACCTACCGCCAGCTGTTCCACCCTGAGCAGCTGATCACCGGCAAGGAAGATGCTGCAAACAACTATGCTCGTGGGCACTACACCATTGGTAAAGAGCTGATTGACCTGGTTCTGGACAGGATCCGTAAGCTGGTAAGTACAGGACTGTTCTCAGACTCACACCGTTTGGCTTGTCAGCAGGACTTGCAGGGGCAGATTGGTCACTAGCGGCTGGGAATCTTCTCATTGTCCGCGCTCTTCTGCATTAAGAAGCTCTTGTTGTTATTGTTGTTAAGAAGCCCCTGTGAGAAGCATTATCCACCCATCGATCCATCCACTGTGTTGTCTCAGCGTCTTAAACGTTTGTTTTATATTCTCAGGCCGACCAGTGCACTGGGCTCCAGGGCTTCCTCATCTTCCACAGCTTCGGGGGAGGCACTGGCTCCGGCTTCACTTCCCTGCTGATGGAGCGTCTCTCTGTTGACTATGGTAAAAAGTCGAAGTTGGAGTTCTCCATCTACCCTGCTCCTCAGATCTCCACAGCGGTGGTGGAACCCTACAACTCCATCCTCACCACACACACCACCCTCGAGCACTCAGACTGTGCCTTCATGGTAGATAATGAAGCCATCTACGATATCTGTCGTAGAAACCTGGACATTGAACGTCCAACTTACACTAACCTAAACCGCCTGATTGGTCAGATTGTCTCCTCTATTACAGCATCCCTTCGCTTTGACGGTGCTCTGAATGTAGATCTGACCGAGTTCCAGACCAATTTAGTGCCATACCCACGTATCCACTTCCCTCTCGCCACCTATGCCCCTGTGATCTCGGCTGAGAAAGCTTACCATGAGCAGCTGTCTGTGTCTGAGATCACCAACTCCTGCTTTGAGCCAGCCAACCAGATGGTCAAGTGTGACCCTCGTCATGGCAAGTACATGGCATGTTGCCTGCTCTACCGAGGTGACGTGGTGCCAAAAGACGTCAATGCCGCTATTGCCACCATCAAAACCAAGCGCACCATTCAGTTTGTGGACTGGTGCCCAACTGGGTTCAAGGTTGGCATCAACTACCAGCCTCCCACTGTGGTGCCCGGTGGTGACCTGGCCAAGGTGCAGCGTGCAGTGTGTATGCTGAGCAACACCACAGCCATAGCTGAAGCCTGGGCTCGGCTTGACCACAAGTTTGATCTAATGTATGCCAAGCGTGCCTTTGTGCACTGGTACGTGGGGGAGGGGATGGAGGAGGGGGAGTTCTCCGAGGCTCGTGAGGACATGGCGGCCTTGGAAAAGGACTATGAGGAGGTTGGCACTGACAGTGTCGAGGGGGAAGGGGAAGGGGAGGAAGGCGAAGAGTATTAGGTAACGAAAAGCCCCCCCTGAGAGGGAGAGTTTGGGAGTGAAGAATGCACAAACTCAAACCTGTTCCTTTGAGAGGAAATTCTTTCCATGAACAACATTCCTCTCCCTCCCCATTTATCTTAACCCGGGAGTAGATGAGTTCTTCTCAAACTGAGCTATTTACCGCTTTATTCACAAATCATCGGAAAGACAAAGGAATACAAATTGGCCGATCATTACACCATAGTTACGTAAACTCAACATGTACATGTCTGGTAAACTCCCAGAAACCCAAGGTCGCTGCTGGGATAATCCCCCCCTCCCCGCCGCTGCCTTTCTATTGCCATACCCAAAAGTCCATTGACACTTCTATCAGGTCACCTTCTTTCCTCTCAAGGGAAAGTGCAGAAACAGAGAAAAGGTTGGGTCAATTGTTGGTTTACCTCTCAATGTGTGGACACTTTGGAGCAAAATAAAGAATTTCCACCAAGACCTGGTTGTATGTTCGCTCCTGTGAGCTTTCACCTGTCGAATTCAAGATCCTCATCCTCACCTACAAGGCCATTCACGGCCTCGCTCCCTCCTATTTCTCTGACCTACTATCCCCCTACCTGCCCGTACCCTCCATTCCTCTGGCTCCGGTCTGCTCCACATCCCCCGCCCCAACCGCCCTACCATCGGTGGCCTTCAGCCTCTCAGCCCCGAGGCTCTGGAACTCCATCCCCAGTGCCTTTGCACTGATTCCTCCCTTTCCTCCTTCAGGGCCGGTCTCAAGACCTTTCTCTTTGACCTTCAGCCTTCAGCTCTCCTCTCGACTCTCTACCCCCTCCTCGCTCCCTCCCTTCCCTCCCCTCACCCTGACCCAACTGTACAGCGCTTTGGGACGTCCTCCCGATGTGAAAGGCGCTCTATAAATGGAATCTTGTTGTTGTTGTTGTCAAGGATTCCCGTCAAGTGGAATCCTTGACCCTTGACAACAACGATCTGATGCTCCAGTCCAGCGCTGGATGGGGGGTGTCGTATTGTCGCAGACGCCGTCCTTCGGATGAGACATTGAGCCTCACGCCCAGTGGCCAGCCTTGGCTGCCGCGTTTGGCCCGCACAACGCACAGTCACTACGCTGGGCGGCGCGTTCCCCCCACTGAAGCGCCCGGAGACGTCTCGGCCACGGGGTTTTATTATTATTTTATTTTATTATTTATTATTATTAATAATAAATCCCACCCCATGGGCCCCTCCCTGTGGACTGTTGGTCACCTGACACCCCCTCCCCACGACCACCACCGCCACCGGGGGGCGCTGGCGAGGCCCAGTCCGCGCGTGCGCACTTCGGGCACTGCGGCCAATCCATCAACCGCCGCCGGCCAGGCCCCGCCCACCCCGCCCCGCCCACCCCCTCACGCGCACGCGCACTGCGGTCACTTCAGCAACCGCCATCATACCCGCTCGAGCCTTTCCCGCCCAAACTCACCTCCGCGTCGACAACCAAGGATGGTGAGAGGCAGAGCGACTGCCGCGCCCGCGCCGCATTACACCGCCCGGTGCCGGGCCGCGCAGGGGGGGGAGGGAGGGAGACAGACGGACGGAACCGCCGAGTAGAGTTTTCTGGAATCTTTTCTCCTCAGAGTTAACGGTCGCCGCTCGAGCGCTGAGAGGAAAAGGCATCAAAATGGCTGCCGCGCCCTTCCCTCCCTCCCCCTCGCCATCACCCTCCCTCCCTCCCTCCCTCGGCGCTGTCTAGTGAGGGTTAGCGCTCTCTCCCTCTCAGCTCGGACTCGCACGGAGCGGTGAGCCGCCGGACCCGCGGGGTGGGTTGGTTTCCATAGCGGGACTCGGGTTGAGCCTTAAAAGCCGCGTAACCCGCCCTTTGGGAAGGGAGCGGCGGGAGAGAGAGAGAGAGAGGGACCGTTAGTCAGATATAACCTCTCCCGCTAACCCGCCTTCCCTCCCGTCTCCTCTCCGCTTTTACGTGACAACGTTAAACGGCGCTGTGTAAAGCACCGGAGAGAGGGAATGGGGAGTGGGCGCAGGGACAGAAAATCCCTTCCCAATAGTTTTTTTTCCGTTAAACTGCGCTGTGTCACAGACACCACAGGCAGTGGGGGGGGGGGGGGTACTCAAATAGTGTTCAAGGGAGAAAACCGTCCCTCAAATAGTTTTTTATTCTTTTATTTCGTTCCCTCCCCCCCCCCCCTCCACCCTTTCCTTTTATTTTTTTAAGCCAAAAAAAATCCGCGAAACAAAGGAGATGGAAAAGATCCTAAAATGGCGGCGCTGCGACGCAGTAACAAAGAGGAGAGACTTGGGGAAGGGGAGGGGTGAGGGGGGGGGGGAGAGGAGAGAAGAAGGGAGGGCGAGGGATGGGGTGGGAAGGGCTGTTAACTCTTGAGGCAGATTCGAGAAAAAACGACTGCTGCTAATAAAAGTTCATATAAAAAAAAATAATCTTTATTATTATTTTATTTCGCCTCGTAGTATACTCCGTGAAGCGCTTCGAGGCGCCTTGAAGCCGTGACTTGGCGCTGTTGTCAAGACGCAAGGGTTGTTATAAGTTGTTATGTTTTGTGGGGGACCTCTGCCGTGCGCAGTTGGCTGCCGCCTTTCGCCCACGAAATATTACAGTCGGTTCACTTTACAGTGTGTCCTGTGAAGCGCTTTGAGACGTCTCACGGTGTGATGAGGCGCAATATCAAAGGCAAGGATTTATTGCGTTTTCCTTAATAGTAGTAATAATAAATTTCCCTTCTCTCCCAATAGTCCCCACTGTGTATTTTGCGGGCAAAGTTATCATTAGTAGTGATAATAAATAATAATTACACCTGGAGTCTCCCATTGCGTAGTGGTTAGCGCGCTCACCTCGCAATTGAAAGGACCGGCTTCGATTTCCGGGCGGGGCAAAACCTTAGGGAAGTTTCCTTACTCCACACACCTCTGTTTAAATAGCAGTAAATAGGAACCCGGTTGTTAGTCGATGGGGGTGTTGTGCTGGAGATAATGGGAGAGGGAGGGTGGGGAGAGAGCTATAACAACAGCCAGGAGCCTCCCAGCTGAGGAATTACATCTGCAATGCCGCACAGAGCTTGCATCACCATCTCATTCGGTTCGTGCGGGAACTGATGACCTGCACGTTATTGGGAAAGAAGGGAGATTTATTATTACTACTAATAATAATTTAATTAACTTTATTTTTGTTATCATAGTGATTGTTAGATTATTAAAGGCGGTCTGTTGGAGGGTAGGGGGTCAGTGGTTTACGGCCAGAATGGGGAAGGAGATTAGCTTGCAGTTTGCATTTAAAATCTCAGAGGATGCTCCAGTGCACTTTTAACAGATCAGTGCATTGACTTTCGGTTGAGACTTTAAACTAAGAACTGCCCTACTTAAAGATTTTATAGCAGTATCTTGAAGATAAGATACTTATCTGTTTCTATTCAGGTAATATATTTATCTTGGAAAGGAGACGAGATAAAATTTCACAATCTTTCCTGCAGAGATTAAATAATCTGCATGTGGTCACCTGGGTTCTAGTGATCTATGGAATGAATGAGTTTAATATCTTTCTCCTCTCCAATCTTTCTTAAATATCCTGCTATTGCATATATTAATACAATCTTCATTCAATGGCTATCTGGTAAATGCTGTACTTAATGATCTATATGGTTGTCAATTCATATGGATTCAGGGACTGATCCCAATAATATCTTTAAAATGTTGAGCATGGTTGATGGGTTTCAGTCATCAGGTAACAAAAAAATTAGAATTTGAGGATGAAGACTCAAATTTAGAAGTAGGAAGGTGAATAGACGATTCAGGTTTACGTATATGAATTAAGCTATCCAAGGAGGTGATGAAGGCAAATTGTCATCAGATGAAATAAGAATTAAATGCATGGTTTATTATTATATTAAACTAAATGTCATGGGTTTGCTTTACTGCTCTCTGCAGAGTTAGCTAATCTCAGCTGGAGTGGTAATAGGAGCATTCAATATGCCTGAACAACAAGGTTACACTAGTATAGCGCCTTTCACGTCGGGAGGACGTCCCAAGGCGCTGGACAGTGTACAGCATTTCAGACCCGAGTTGGGATCAGGGGGGAGAAGGGAAGGAAAGGGGGGTGGCCGATGGTATGGTTGAAGAGGAGGGTCTTGAGGTGGGACTTGAAGGAGACTTAAGGAGGGGGCGAGGCGGAGTGATTGGGGGATGGAATTCCAGAGATTGGGGGTAGAGTGGCTGAAGGCTCTCTCGCCAATGGTGAAGCGGGTGGGTCGGGGGTGTGGAGCCGGCTGAGCAGAGGGAGCGGGCAGGTTGGTAAGGGGTTACGAGGTCGCAGAGGTATGTTGAGGCGAGGCCATGCAGGGCTTTGTAGGTGAGAACCAGGATCTTGAACTGGATCCTCTGAAGGATAGGGAGCCAATGGAGTCGGGTGAGAATGGGGTCACGAGTTTGGTGCAGGAGAGGACACGGGCTGCAGAGTTCTGGATTATCTGCAGTCTGAAGGGAGGAACCTTCTGGAACAAGAAATGTAAAATCAGTTAAAACTTAGGTTGAACAATACATTACAAATTTACAATTATATAGCACCTTTCGTGTTGGGAGGACGTCCTGAGGCAACTGAGAGAGTCCTGGCTTGGCACCCGAACTGGGGGTGCGAACTAAGGGTGGGGAGAGGAAAGGTAACCGACAGTGCAGTCATAGAGGAAGATATGTATGTTCCTTTGAACAGTATGTTCGACAAAAGACTTTTTGAAGGCATCGTAGGATTTACTGTAACCTCTAGTGACTATTTTGTAGATGTATGTGGCAGCAAATTTGGGCACAGCAGTGTCCCACAAATAGCCATGATGTGAATAATCAGCTTTATCTGGGGATTATGGGCCAGAACACTGGGAGAAGTTCCCATCCTTTGAATAACACATCAGAATCTTTAACGTCCTCTCCTGCACCAGGCTCTGACCCCCATCACCCCCCACCCTCATATTGCAACAGTCATGACAGCTAAGATGGTGGATCCCAGGGATGGAACAAAAGAATTTGTTGCCTGAGGTCAAATATAATTTTATAAGGATTTTCTTTTTATAACAAAGGGTATTAGTTTGAACGTAAATTAGTTCCCTCTGAGAATTTTCCTTCTCCAAAAGAAATATTATTTTGTACCCTGTTTTCTCATAGTGAGTTAGTTTTCAATCTTGGTGGTGTATCCAGAGTGGAGTTAATTTGTTGCTCACGCTGTTAATAGCGGCAATAAGAATTAGAAGAGTTGTAACACAAAATTGCTTGTGCCTGTGCTCACTGATCAGAGGTTGCCTTGTAACCAGGGCAAGTCAAATCAAGCAAAAAAAAGGGACAGAAACGTTTTTTTTAAAAAAAATAGTCGTGCAAATCAATCACTGAGTCCTCCCGGTATGAAGGGCACTGTATAAATGCAATTTGTTGTTGTTGAGACGGGAGAACAAAGCCTGGGACTGCGATTGGTGTAATATAGTGACCTATGCATTTAGTGTCTATCCAATTAGTTGTACTGTGGTACCAGTGTTTTACACTTGTGGTAGCTGACTGGTTGCTTACTTGGCAGTTTTCTGCTCGGATGGTGCTTTAATTGGTGGTGTGCAGAATCTCTTCTGGGGTAGGTCTGGGCTGATTCCCTAAACCACACCCTCTTTTGTTACTGCCAACAAATCCACCGGTGCTGCTCTGCTCGGTCATTGTTCTGCACTGCACTGCCATCGTTACACGGCACAGCCTCTGTTGCATCTGCTTTGCTGAATTTCTGAAGATTTGTGAAAGAAATTAAAATGGTGAGCATTCCAGTTTTATTACTTATGTCTGCCCGAGGGACATTTTGTTTGTAGCAATGTGGGATGTTGCAGGGCTGGGCAGCCTCATGATTTCTTTGTGAGTATCGAGGCCTTTCAGCTGCAGTCATTTCAAAAAAATGTGGAGGAATGATGCAGCATTTTTAATGCTTTAAAAAGCACCCTTGTAATTTGTATTTGTTATATTCATTCATCCTAACCAGCAATTCTAGTATGTAAATACATCAGCAATTTGGGGAATGAAGAGGGTAGTGTGAAATTCATTTTTAACCCGTTTAGCTATTATAATCCATCAATATAGCACACGGTACAATTTACATCTAAATTCCCTTGTTCCAATTTAAGCATTTTCGGATGTTTTTGATCATATTCCTAATTTGTTTTCTTCTTTAAAAACATGATTTTTAGGCATTTTTGTTCATTTTCCTGCATAATTCAAGTAACTAGATTTTGTAGGATTGTGTTTGGTATGTTTCTTTATGCTGATTGCAGTGCAGTGCAAGCCGTGATGCGCACAGAACCTGCAGAGTTCACTTACAAAATATACAATAAATCGACTGCAGTATGTCCTGTGAAGCATTTAGAGACGACGCCCTGATGTGAAACCGATGTCACAAGCGCTCAACTGCATTTTATAATCAAGCGAATGTTAAATCCTGTATGGTAAACATATGTTATCAACAATCTATATTAAATATACATATTGTAATGCCTCGTATTATTTGTGTACTACAGCTTCAATTTCAGGATCTTGGAAGCTCAATTCAAGGGAGACGTGTAACAGACTATCTAGGGAGGGGTTATCTTGCATTGAATCCATTCCTTTTCATTGTAGTACACCTATCGTCTGATTATTAAAAAAAACAACTGAGTGAGTTCTTAATGTTATGGGAGGAACGCAATAACTAAAAAGAAAAGGCATTTGCCACCACTTGTGGAGATATATGCAAGCATTAAATTTTAGATTCTCAAAAAATTATCTTGGTCTACCAATCACAGGCTAAAGCAATGTATACCCCACCTTACTGGAATTACTAGCACTAAATTGAACTGCTGCAGTAACAGATCATCCTTTGGGTGAGATATTAAACCAAGCTCCCGTCTTCCTCTTCTGGTGGCCATTAAGATCCCATGCACTATTCAAATTGAGAAGGGAGTTTCTCTTTGTCCTGGCTGACAATGCTCAAGATTTTTTAAAAATCGTTGACTTCACAATTGTTTCATCGTAAGCATCTGGAAGGGCAGACCAGTCACTGGGGGCAGGGAGTCATCCCAGCTCCTGTTAATACTGCAAGATGGAGCCCTAATTGGGTAGGTTTTCCTAGCTGAACAAGCAGCAGGAAAGCTTGCCAGACAGCAATATTAATGGCAAGCTATGTGGTTTTAGCTGGTTAGACACCAGCAGTACCCCACCCCAATGCACACTCTGGGGTCCCCAAGCCTTGGCTCTTGCAACCTGCGCCTAATGTTTCCGGATTAGATAAGGAATTAGATAAGTCTCCAGAGAGAGACTGCACATTCCATTCCAACGATGTATTTATTATTTCCATGTTTAGGTGGGTTGCATGGACATTTCAGCCTAGTTTGGATACTCTTAAACATTGTAATGGGTTTCCGCATGTGTCAAGACACCGGGCTGACCAAAAAAAATATTTTTTGTGGGGATAGTGTGCACATTAGCTGCCACTTTCAACTCCAGATATATAGTCACTACAATTTACAGAAAAACCCTATGAAGCTCTTTATATTTTTTGAAAAAGCACTAAACCAACTGCAAGCATTATAACAAATGTAGTATTAAATACAGCATGAGATTTTTTTAGTATTGATAATTACTGCTCTTAAAAGTATTACTATAAAAATAACAAAGAATGTACTTACGGGAAACATAGACTGTTATACACTATAACAAAGGTTAATTAAGAGTCTCTGAGCTACTTCATATCATACCACCATCTTGTACATAATGAGAAATATTACTGATAAAGTGGCTACATTGGATTCAAGACTGATCTCATGTTCTCTGCATTAAATCTCATGTTCTCTGCATTAATTATTTCAATCTGTTCATTGCAGTAAAGGAAACAATCCAATCCGACAACTGCTGGCTGTCCTCGTAACCTTACTTATGTATTTGCTATTTATGCAATGTGAGCAATGGTCTTTTAGCAAATGGAACTAGCTAGATGGATTGCAACGGTGCATTCCTGTGGTTCTATTGTATAAACATATCTATCTTATAATTTTTTTCATAAAAAATTCTCCTTTGTGATGCAGCTTACCAAAGGATTGACCCCGCCTTATGCAGATATTTTAAATAATTGTCGTGTCTACATCAAGAATAATACAGATAGGCTCTTCAGTAATGGAAAAGAACTTTGATTGTTGAAAATAATCAGTCCATTAAAATTTGAAGGCTCCTTGAAACTCCATTCCTCTCCATGGCTGATTAACAGCTAAATGTTCCCAGTTGATGATTCTCCGAGACAGGAATTCTAGATATGAATTATTCACCAAGGTACATTCTAGCCAGGGACCTAGCCACAATTCTGTCTTTAACTGTTTTATCAAAATGTTAGGGAGCCATAATGCATCCTTGAGGGTTATTACAATGTGAACAGGAATGATTTTCCCACATGTGGCATGTTGGTTTTTTGTTTCGCTAATCGGTCTGCCATTGTCACATTTCTGCAGCCACAATTTAGTGAAATTGAGGCTTCTATACCTGCTCCCCAAATCCTCCTTGGAGAATTGTAGCTGTTCGGTGATGCTCTTTATCCACTTGGGGGGAACTCACTTTTATAGGATACAACCCTACCATCACCCTACCCCAATTATACACTTATACAGAGTTTGTCTGTTCAATGGAAGAACAGATTCTGGGTCTACTTTTTTTCTTTCCTCTTTAGAAGGTCCTTCCTTTAATCTTTTCAAAAAGATGTTTGGAGGACTGTTCCCATTATGTAACAATTGATATCCTTTTGGGGGTCTTAAATTTTTTGAATCACTGGATTTTTGCCATTTAAAATTACATTTAAATTTACATTCCACATGGGAAATGATCAAATCTCTAAATTGAATGTTTTTTGATACCTTATGAAAATCTCATGGTGGGTACTTAAGTTTCTAATTCAATACATACCAAATATTAGTAAAATGCTCTTTACAATGCTATTGTTTGGCTAGGAATACACCATTGGATCTTGTTCAAGATCATTAAACTTGTATATATGTATGTTGAACACACATATCAGGCTACACTGGAGAATGTCGGTCAGTAAAGTTGCCATATTGAAATTTTTTATAACACCTCTGTTTCTGCTAAAGCATTAATTTAGCTGGATTTGTTTCGAATACAAATAACTCCTTTGAGAGTGCTACTATCTCAATATCCTAGTGGTGGGATCTTTTTACCTAATAGAGTATTTGTTGTTTGAATTAAAACACTCAGCACACATCGTTTTAGAACAATATTGCATCCAACAGTCAAGCTTGGACACGTAAGTCTTGTATCCAAACAGTTCATCGTGGACTGGAGCTTCCATGCAAGCAGTTAAAGGTTTTCTTAAACCCATATGCAAAATTCGGGCCAAAGATGTGGGAGTACATTTTTATGACAAACAAAAAATTGCTGCAAAGAGGGATAGCACTTTCAGTTCATGTGATAAATATTATCCAAAACATTATTCTCTTGTGGCTTAGCTGGGTTTTATTCCTGGTGGAATTTGAACGATAATTCAATCTGAACAGTGACTTGTACATAAAGCTTTGTCTTTACTGAAAGGAATTCTGCACCTTATCTTGCACACAGTGCTGCATGAGTGAGAAACGGTGGATTAGCATGCCTTTACCAACGGGTAGTGTGAGGTTCACAGTTAAACAGGCCACATTAGATGCATGAGAGTTTATAATTCTTGGCAAGTTTAAAATACGTTACGGCAATTTTTTGCTTTGTAAATGATTAGTATCTCAGCTGGTTGAAAAATGTACTGTTTTATAGGAACCAGATTTACAGTCCGCTTTTTAAAAAAAATGTTCTTGGGCTAGGATTCTGTGGGGTCTCCTTGGAGCTGAACTGGCTCCAAGATGGCATGCCTGGCAACGGAATGAAACCGTCTCTAGTTTGTGATCATGAGCCAAGCGGGTCTGCTTTATTCCAGGGTACAGCTGATGACAGCACAGCCAAATTGGCTCATCAGCATGAACTGGAAGAGCAAACCGGTTACTGGGGACAGGAGGTCATTCCACTCGGCTCCTGTTAACCCTGCAATCCAAAGCGGTTAGGGTGGTCCTATCTGGACAAACCGCGGGAAAGCTTGCCAGACAGCAATATCAATGGCAAGCAATGCAATTTTAGCTAGTTAGACTCCAGTGCGCACTTTGGGGTCCCCAAGCCTTGGCTCTTGCCAACCTGTGCCTTTCTGGAATTAGGTGAGCAGGACGCATCCCTCCAGGATCAGAATGCGCATTTCATTCCAACAATTTATCTCTAGGATTTCCATGTGTAGGTGGGATGTATAGAATTCTCATCTTGGGTGGGGTACTCCCAAGCACGATGTTAAGTTTATAGGTGTCAGACTCCCTGCTAGCCCCCCAAAAATTGATGCAATAGTTAGCTGAAGACATGACTGTCTTAATAGGTTTCATCTGTTTAAGCAAATAAGTTTTGTTTGCTTCTCTCTGCAGCGTGAATGTATCTCTATCCATGTTGGCCAAGCCGGTGTCCAGATGGGCAATGCCTGCTGGGAGCTGTACTGCCTGGAACATGGCATCCAGCCTGACGGGCAGATGCCCAGTGATAAGACCATCGGAGGGGGCGATGACTCCTTCAACACGTTCTTCAGTGAGACGGGAGCTGGGAAGCATGTCCCACGAGCTGTCTTTGTCGATTTGGAACCAACTGTGATCGGTAAGTTGGAGGTGAAATGACTTGGGAAATTGTTACCAGGAAGCCCTTTTGTAACAAGTCTGTTAAAATGTCTAATTGTATTTGAAGATTACTAAATGAAAAATGCTTTAGTACTCAGTTTTAATTTGGGACTTTTCTCGGGAGTTGGCTATTAAGAATTTGAAAGAGACTGAGCAATCTCAGGGAGTTCTCAATAGACTGATCCATCTATGTATAACCAGGTGTTATCTTAACCTTAGGCACATTGTAGTTTGCAGTTTATCTGGTATGTCATAATTGACCCCAAATTAATTAGATACAGTGATAATGTAGTCCCTTTATTATGTTGATAAGAACATGTGCACAGGGCACTGATCTCTTCCAAATCTTTGCTCCAGATGAGATCCGCAGTGGTACCTACCGCCAGCTGTTCCACCCTGAGCAGCTGATCACTGGCAAAGAAGATGCTGCAAACAACTATGCTCGTGGACACTACACCATTGGTAAAGAGCTGATTGACCTGGTTCTGGACAAACTACGCAAACTGGTGAGCTTTTTTAACTATGATGATCACCGAGTGTCAGAACAGGGAAGAATGTGTGATTTTTGGTCATGGTTTAACAAATTATTGATTAATTTCTTGCATTCCAACCACAACATGACTCACATATTTTAATAGAGGATGTGATGCAGAAATGGGCCGAGTCAGACACTGGCTTCAGAGATTTCCCTCCACATCTGCAAAGCTGTGTTTCTCTCCTGACTAGGGAGTGAGTGAGTGGATAACTAAAAGATCACATCTCCTTGATGTGTGTTAAGAGCCACAAGTGAAATGCCTTATAGTTTCCAAACTAGCTGCTGGTGCCCATCGATCCATAGCTCTCAGGTACTCCTTGCATTGGCTGTCTCTGCTCTGCCTGGGGTGCTTTGCAGCGAATCAAACTGATACAAGGTGACACAGCAAAATTAATATTCTAGTAAACTGTTCTGAATTCTGAGCAGTAGAATACGTCTTGTGTCCGTTGAAAAAAAAATTCAGTGGAGTTATAAAGTTGAATTTTAACAAGGTCACGAGAGGAACAACTGTAAGTGAGTGTTAAGAGGGTTATGTTTTTGGAATATGGGGGGATTGGAAAATTATGTCTAGTGGGGTACGACAGGGTTCGGCACCTAAATGGTTTGGAAGTGGGCACAAACTATCTAAAGATACCAAATTGGTTAAGAATATAAGGGAATAAGTTGACAAAATAGTTGACAAATTGGGTTGCTGGGCTGAAAAGTTGCAAATGCCCTTAAATGTTAACAAATATAAGGCTGATACTGGGACAGGACAATAGCATTTGAATATAAACTGAATACAGTTATGTATGGATAGAAGCAACCCAACCACAAGAAGCGACACAACTTGATGCAGGTTTTATAAATGCTGAGAGGAATGGAGAGTATAGTCGCTGTTGACTTACTTCAACTTAAGCAAGATGAGAATGCAAGTACAAAACACCTCAAGTAAGGCTTCCAATTCAAAAGAAATGCAGATGACACACAAGTCTAATTTGCCTCCTCCAGTACCAACACCAGGTCCACCGATGTCTTATCAGCTTTTTCTGGCAAACATCAGGGCCTGGATGACTGCAAACTTCCTGCAACTGAATGTAGACAAGACGGAAGCCATACTCCTTGGCTCCTGTCAATGTTTTCACTCCTGTGAATCTAAACTCCTCAACCTCCCTGGGCTCTCCCTCAGATCCACCAAACAAGTGTGCAATCTAGGCATCCGGTTTGACCCCCAGCTATCCTTCTTTCCCCCACATCCGGTCCCTGACCTGGACCGCCTTCTTCCACCTCCGCCACATTGCCCGCCTCCAACCGTACCTTACCCCGAATGCAGCCAAAACCCTCGTGCATGGGTTTGTCACTTCCCGCTTAGATTACTCAAATGCACTCCTCGCAGGTCTCCCCAGTTCCACTATTCAAAAGATCAGCTCATTCAGAACTCTGCCACCCACATACTTACCGGACCAAACTCCGTCCCCACATCTCAGCAGTTCTGGCCAGGCTCCACTGGCTTCCCATCACCGAACAGTCTACTTCAAGATCCTCACTCGTGTTCAAATCCCTTCACTCACTGGCACATCCCTTCCTCTCAGACCTCCTCACTCCCCAATCCACCACTCGGAGGTCGTGCTTTCAGCCACTATGCCCTGAAACTCTGGAACGTCCTCAATCTCTCTGCCTTGCCCCCCTCCCCTTTTTGAAGTCCCACCTGAAAACCTTCTTCAACCGTGCTTACGGCCACTCCGCCACCCGGCTCGGAGTCAGGCTCCGCCACTGTTAATGCTCCTATATAAGTGCAAGTTGTCTTACTTCCATATTGAAACTAGAAAGTGGACCCACTTAACTCTGGCATTAAATACAAAGCTTTTCTGACTAAACCATGACGTGTTCTGTGGGGAATTTTTCTACAGGCGGACCAGTGCACTGGACTCCAGGGTTTCCTCATCTTCCACAGCTTCGGGGGAGGCACTGGCTCCGGCTTCACTTCCCTGCTGATGGAGCGTCTCTCTGTTGACTATGGCAAGAAATCCAAGCTTGAATTTGCCATCTACCCTGCTCCTCAGATCTCCACAGCGGTGGTGGAACCCTACAACTCCATCCTCACCACACACACCACCCTCGAGCACTCAGACTGTGCCTTCATGGTAGATAATGAAGCCATCTACGATATCTGTCGTAGAAACCTCGACATTGAACGTCCAACTTACACTAACCTAAACCGCCTGATTGGTCAGATTGTCTCTTCTATTACAGTTTCTCTTCGCTTTGACGGTGCTCTGAATGTAGATCTGACCGAGTTCCAGACCAATTTAGTGCCATACCCACGTATCCACTTCCCTCTCGCCACTTATGCCCCTGTTACCTCGGCTGAGAAAGCTTACCATGAGCAGCTGTCTGTAGCTGAGATCACCAATTCCTGCTTTGAGCCAGCCAACCAGATGGTCAAGTGTGACCCTCGTCATGGCAAGTACATGGCATGTTGCCTGCTCTACCGAGGTGACGTGGTGCCAAAAGACGTCAATGCCGCTATTGCCACCATCAAAACCAAGCGCACCATTCAGTTTGTGGACTGGTGCCCAACTGGGTTCAAGGTTGGCATCAACTACCAGCCTCCCACTGTGGTGCCCGGTGGTGACCTGGCCAAGGTGCAGCGTGCAGTGTGTATGCTGAGCAACACCACAGCCATAGCTGAAGCCTGGGCTCGGCTTGACCACAAGTTTGATCTAATGTATGCCAAGCGTGCCTTTGTGCACTGGTACGTGGGGGAGGGGATGGAGGAGGGGGAGTTCTCCGAGGCTCGTGAGGACATGGCGGCCTTGGAAAAGGACTATGAGGAGGTCGGAGCAGACAGCGTTGAGGGCGAGTGTGAAGAGGAAGAATATTAAATAAAAAGCATTCCTGAGATTGGTTGGGATCAATATGATGGCGAGATTGTACTTGTTCTTTAAGGCAAGGTACTTTGATCGCCAACAATCTTCTCCCCATTGATCTTAAGCTGGAAGTAGTGCTGTTCTTGCTAAAACTGTGCTGCCTTGTGATTTTGTAGGATTTGTAACTGGTGGGATGAATTGAAATGTGTGAAGGAAACCACGGCAATGGTTGTACAGTAGTACCAAAAATGGCACAGTTTCTGGTTTAACATCAGTCAGGAGGATTAATTGACCATTCCTAATTGTCACAGAATTGTGCATTATTGGTTAGGAATGCACGTTTATGTTTGGAACAAAAATGCTTTAATAAACTTTCTGTGGCTATAAAAAAAACCTGATTTAATGTCTGCTCTTTTTACTGTCTGATGCATCGACCTTTGAAGGTAGGAATGCAATTAATAGAAACATAGGAACAATTCAGCTCCTGGAGTCTGTCCTGCCATTCTATAAGATCATGACTGATCGGCACCTCAACGCCAATTAGTAAATCCATTTAAAAAAAGGCATTTTTTTAATATATAATAGCACTGAATACAAAGGCAAGGAAATGATATGTGTATACAAGATATTGATGAGGCAGTGAGTGGCAGAAGGCTTGATTCTGTAATAAAATAATCATTTCAATTGACACTGCTTTTCACATAGGGATGATGTCTCAAAGCACTTTACAGAATTTACTATAATGTGTAAATGACTGTTTTGCAGATGAATTAACCAAAGCTCAACATATTTTTAAATGATGTATGCATAATAATGCAGTATTAAGAATAAGCTTCCTGACTCCCATCCAGAGCCTCTTGTGTGTGCAACTTTACTTCGCTGCCTACATCAAAATATTCTTGCTGGGAGTAAGTGAGAAATTGAGAGATACCAGCTTTCAGAATCTCATGTCAAAGAGGCAAAGCTCTTGATATTCTATCTCACCTGTCCTTCGGGTTATTTTTTAATATCAAAAACAAAACCTATGGCCAAATGAGCCCTTTTCCTTGGCATTACTAATACAGAGTAGTTTGTAACCGTTTCATATAATGTTTTTCTAAATGTGGTTGAATTTATTTTTCTGCTTCAAAATGACGGTTCGCTTCTATGTAGAATCTTTCGTGTAGGGTGACTATCCACAACGCTTCACGGCGTCGAGATGATCTGTGAGTGGGATGGGAAGAGGCGGTGTGGAGGGGAGGGGGAGTAAAGCTCATGACCACATGAGTGGTCAAAAGGTTTTTATGTATATATATATCAAGAGTTTTGTGGGTAGGGGAGAGGGGCAGGAATTGGGATTTACAATTGGGTACAAGATAGGGTTGATTTGAAAGTCAGCAACAGCTGCCCATCGTTTGCCTCGTTGGATGATGACACTTGGGGAACACTTTCCCCAAACCCTGATTCAGGGTAAACAGACCCCTGTTATCAATGGGGAGAGGGTGGGGGAGAGCTTTGGCTGCTGGGCTCCGACTACAACTCCCATGATGCTTTCGCCACCGCGCCCGTGATGCGTCACCCCCGACTCCCAGGCTGCTTCGCGGTCCGCCCCCGAGGCGCATGCGCGTGCGGGCGGCGTCACGCCCCGGCCGCCATTTTGTACGGCGACGTTTGAACTGAAACTTGAGAGAGAGAGAACCGCTTCTCTTTTGGGCGGGAAAGCGCGACCTTCCAGAAGCTTCGTCTCAGCCCAGTGCGGGGGGAGGGGGTTTGGCGCTCACCATGGTAAGTCAATCGATAATAACCACGACAACCCGACCAGCCTCAGACACCCCGAGCCGTTGTGGGGACGGTGTTGGGACTGAGCGGCATATAATTGTTCTCGGCGTCACGTCGTCGAGACGTCTCAAAGCGCTTCGCCGATGTCCTCCCCTCTCCCCGCCACCCCTCCCCCACACACACAACAACAACAACAACAACAAGATTACATTTGTATAGCGCCTTTCACGTCGGGAGGACGTTCCCTGAGGCGCTGACAAACAGCCCGTGGGGTTGAAACGACCACATTTTCTTTTTTTTAAGCGATCGTTACCCCCCTTCCCCACCCCCCCCCCCCCCCCCCTACTCCCCCCCTCCCCCACTCCCTCCCCCCACCCCCCCCCCCTCCCCCCCACTCCTCCCCCCACCCCGGGAACGCGAGCCGACGCTTAAGTTGGCTTTCGTCGCGGACGCGGAAACCGTGTGGATAAGTGGGTTCATCGCGCGAATGCGGGCATTGGCTGCCGGGTTAACCTGGATGGAGCCTTTCATCCCGAGCGATGGATCCCGGTGAGTCGGTCCAGTCCCTCATCACTCCTCGGGCGGATAAAACGGTTCTATCATATTTCAAACGTCTCCGCTTTGGGTGAGAGGGGACAGTTTTGCACTAATTTTGTGATGGTGGGGGGGGGGTTATTTTACAGCGTGAATGTGTATCTGTCCATATTGGCCAGGCTGGTGTCCAGATAGGCAACGCCTGCTGGGAGCTGTACTGTTTAGAGCATGGCATCCAGCCTGATGGGTTTATGCCCAGGGACTGGACGTATGGAAATGCCGATGATTCCTACAACACCTTCTTTGAGGAGACTGGAGGTGGAAAGCTTGTCCCGCGAGCTTTGTTTGTGGACTTAGAGCCAACTGTGATCGGTAAGTCAGGGACAAGCCATTTCGTCAATATATTTTCAACTCTCATGTCTTTGTATTTGCAAAGGACTGCATGGCTAAATGTGCATACAGCTTTGGTTAGTAACACAATTCACATACTCTCAAATCAAAAAGCTTAAATTTTCTATATGATGTCTGTTGAGCAGTCGGCGTAATGAGTATTAGCTCAAATTACTATTTGAGAGGGATGGGGGGGACAAGGGGTGGGATAACGGTGGAAAGATGACCAAAGGCATGGTCAAAGAGGAAGATATTGAGATGGACCTTGAAGGAGGCAAGGGAAGGGGCAAGGTGAGCTTCAGGAGCTTCAGGCGGTGTGGGCAGAAAAACTGAAGTCCTGACCGCCGTTGGTGGGGTGGGCAGGGGACCTTGAAGCAGGCAGGTTGGTAAGGTTTAAATAGGCCGCAGAGGAGGGTGGGGCAAGACCGTGGAGGGCTTTAAAAGTGAGGACGAGGATCTTCAACTCGACAAATAGTCATTAAATAGACAACATCATAGATTTATTCAAAATCATAGTTTCTCTGCATTTTCATAGTTGACTTTACAATAATAATATACATTTGATTTGGCGCCTTATTACGTCACCACAACATCACAAAGCGCTACACAGGACATATTGTTAAGTGGATTGACTGTTTATGGGTGAAACGCAGAAGCCAGTTGCACACAGCAATATCCCACAGATAGCTGTGGAATGACTGATCAAAGATGGTCATGTATATGGAGAGAGACAAAAACACATTTCTGAAGCAATAGAATTCTGAATTGTAGATGAGGTCCGTACCGGTACCTACCGCCAGCTGTTCCACCCCGAGCAGCTCATCACTGGCAAGGAAGATGCCGCCAACAACTATGCCCGTGGGCACTACACCATTGGTAGAGAAATCATTGACCTGGTTCTGGACAGGATCCGTAAACTGGTAAGAATTATTTTTAGAAATGGATTGCAGCGTCGTGCACTAATGACATTCCTATTAATAATAATCCTCGCATTTGATGTGCTGCTTTTCACGTCTCAAAGCGTTTCACATGGAAACCTAAATCCTATTAGGCCCAGATTGGCAAGAGCCAAGTCTTGGGTTCAAAAAGAGAGTGCATTGGGCTAACTTGGAGTTTAACCAGCTGAAAACGCATAACTTGCATTGAAAGCACTGTCTATAGTAAGCTTCTCACTGCGTGTTCAGATAGCACCCTACCCATCAGGGCTTTGACTTGCAAGGTTATCAGGAGCTGAGTGGGAAGAATTCCTACCCTAGTTATGAGCATTATATCAGTTAAAAGGATTATTATTATTTCCAATGCAACCAGTTGCTCATGGTCATGTAACTGAAGATAGTTGATCGTAAGACACAAAATGATCTATCCACCAAGAAGAAAAGGAACATTAAAGTTACTATTATTCCTCTTTTGCGGGGAGTGCTCTATACTTAATAAAATAATACTTGATTTGATATAGCGCCTATCTGGCTAAAAGAATGGTGCGGAGGGCAGGGGTTTCACTTTATAGGCCACTGGCACCAGTATTGGGGGAGACGGGAGCTATTCCAAAGGAATGGACTCCACCTAAACAGGGCTGGGACAAATGTCCTGGCAACACAAATAAATAGGGAGGTAGACAGGTCTTTAAACTTCTAGGGGGGGGGTAAATTCAATCACATGTAATCCGTTACAATTAAAATTAGGACCGATGAAAGGTGGGAGAGCAGATTAATGAGGGAGATGAGCAATGGGTGTCAAACGGGGAAAGGAAGCCCAGGGATAGGGTACTGGTGAATAGGACTAATAGCCCGAAGTCAGAATTAAAGGTGCTATATCTGAATGCGCCAAGCATTCGAAACAAGGTAGATGAGTTAAATGCACAAATAGAAACAAACGGATATGATCTGGTCGTCATCACCGAGACATGGTTACAGGGAGATCAAGGGTGGGAGCTAAATATTCCAGGGTACGTTGTTATAGGAAAGATAGGCAACGTGGTAAACGGGGAGGGTGGGGTGGCCCTGCTAATAAAGGATGGGATAAAAACAGTAGAGAGGAAAGATTTTAAATCAGAAAAGCAGGAAGTAGAGTCAGTGTGGGTAGAGGTACGTAACAACAAGGAGCAGAAAACTCTAGTGGGAGTAGTTTATAGACCTCCGAACAGCAGTCACGGTATCGCTCAAGGTATAAATCAGGAAATTAGCAGAGCATAGAGTAAAGGAAAAACATTAATTGTGGGTGATTTTAATCTGCACATAGATTGGGACAACCAAATTGGAAAAAGTAAGATAGAGGAAGAGTTTATAGAATGTATTAGGGATAATTATCTGGATCAGTTTGCCAAGGAGCCAACCAGGGAACAGGCCATATTAGACCTTGTTTTGTGCAATGAAGCAGGGCTGGTCAGCAAACTGGAAATGAAGGCCCCTCGAGGGCAAAGTGAGCCCCTCGAGGGCAAAGGGCATAATCATAATATGATGGAATTTAGCATTAAATTAGAGAGAGAAATAGTTACGGTTGGGTCCGAAGTCTGAAGCAAAGGTTTCAAATTTAAGTAGAGCTAATTTTGCTGGTATGAGAGAGGATTTAGCCAAAATAAACTGGGAAATTAGACTTAAGGATTTGACAGTAGACCAGCAATGGAGACGTTTAAGGAGATAGTGCAAAATTCCCAGCGAGCACGTATTCTTTTGAGGAATACAACAATAACAAGATTTCATTTATAGAGCGCCTTTCACGTCGGGAGGACGTCCCAAGGCGCTGGACAGTTGGGTCAGTTGGAGCATTGGGGGGGGGGAAAATGGTCAGGGTGAGGGGAGGGAAGGGAGGGAGCGAGGAGGGGTTAGAGAGTCGAGAGGGGAGCTGAAGGCGCGGTCAAAGAGAAAGGTCTTGAGGCCGGCCTTGAAGGAGGAAAGGGAGGAATCGGCGAAGGCACTGGGGATGGAGTTCCAGAGCCTCGGGGCTGAGAGGCTGAAGGCCCGGCCACCGATGGTAGGGCGGTTGGGGCGGGGGGTGTGGAGCAGACCGGAGCCAGAGGAACGGAGGGTACAGGCAGGTAAGAATGCCACGGGAAAGGTGGCCCAACCGTGGCTAACTAGAACAGTTAGGGAAAGTATAAAGTTAAAGGAATAAGCCTATAAAGCAGCTAAGATGAGTAGTAAACCCGAGGATTGGGTTAGCAGAAAGATTAGATACTGTTAGTGTTCAGAGGGATTTGGGTGTCCTTGTACACCAGTCTCAAAAAGTTAGTTTGCAGGGGCAGCAGCAACTAAGGAGGCGAACGGCAGTTAGCGTTCATTGCAAAAGGTTTAGAGTACAAGAGTAGGGAAGTCTCGCTGCAACTGTATAGGGCTTTGGTGAGACCGCACTGAGAGTATTGTGTGCAGTTTTGGTTTCCTTATTTAAAAAAGGACATACTTGCCCTTGAGGGGGTGCAGCGTAGATTCACTCGGTTAGTGCCTGGGGTGAGGGGACTGACCTATGAGGAGAGGCTGAATAAACTGGGCTGTATTCTCTAGAGTAAAGAAGAATTAGGGGAGATCTTGTTGAAACATATAAGATTCTTAAAGGGCTGATAAAGTAGACACTGAGGGTCCCCGGTAGGAGAATCTATAACCGGGGGTCACAGTCTGAAAATTAAGGGTCAGCCTTTCAGAATAGAGTTGAGGAAACATTTCTTCACTCAGAGGGCAGTGAATTTATGGAATTCATTCCCCCAGAAGGCTGTAGATGTCAGTCCTTGAACATCTTCAAGGCTGAGACTGATAGATTTTTAAAAAAACAGAGGCATTAGGGGATATGGGGACAGGGCAGGTAATTAGAGTTAGGTTAGAAGATCAGCCCTGATCTTATTGAATGGCGGAGCACAGGCTCGAGGGGCCGAATGGCCTACTCCTGCTCCTAATTCTTATGTTCTTATGTCATTGCGACATCTCAAAGCGCTTCACAGAATATACTGTAAACTGGAGTGACTGTGTATTTTGTGGGCTAAACAAAAGAACACTTAATTGTCTTCTCCCCACATTACATTTTCCTTTTTTAAAAAAAGTTTTAAAAGCTAATGAGGATTGAAGTTGCCAACAAATAAAGCTATCAAAATTGTAACTATCAAATGTATTTTTCGCAGGTGGACCAATGTACAGGCCTGCAGGGCTTTCTGGTTTTTCACAGCTTTGGTGGGGGCACTGGGTCTGGTTTCACTGCGCTGCTGATGCAGTGTCTCTCTGTTGACTACGGTAAGAAGACCAAATTTGAATTTATCATCTACCCAGCTCCGCAGATATCTACAGCCATGGTGGAACCCTACAACTCCATCCTGACCACCCACACCACTCTCGAGCACTCAGACTGTGCGTTTATTGCAGACAACGAGGCTCTCTATGATATCTGCCGCCGAAACTTGGACATCGAACGGCCAACCTACACCAACCTGAACCGGCTGCTTGCTCAAATTGTCTCCTGTATCACAGTCTCTCTTCGCTTCGAAGGTGCCTTGAATGTCGATCTGCTTGAGTTCCAGACCAACTTGGTTCCGTACCCACGTATCCACTTCCCCCTGATTAGTTATGCACCAGTGATCTCTGCTGAGAAAGCTTATCACGAACAATTAACTGTAGCTCAGCTTACCAACTCCTGCTTTGAGCCAGCCAACCAGATGATCAAGTGTGACCCTCGCCGCGGTAAATACATGTCGTGTTGCCTGCTCTACCGAGGTGACGTGGTGCCAAAAGACGTCAATGCCGCTATTGCCACCATCAAGACCAAACGTTCCATTCAGTTTGTGGACTGGTGCCCAACTGGGTTCAAGGTTGGCATCAACTACCAGCCTCCCACTGTGGTGCCCGGTGGTGACCTGGCCAAGGTGCTACGTGCTTGCTGTATGCTGAGTAACTCAACAGCTATCCGGGAAGCCTGGGCTCGGCTCAATTACAAATTTGACCTAATGTTTGCCAAGCGTGCCTTCGTGCACTGGTATGTGGGTGAGGGGATGGATGAAGGGGAATTTCCTGAGGCGCGTGCTGATTTGGGGGCGTTGGAAAGGGACTATGAAGAAGTGGGTATGGACTCCGTTGCATATGGCCAAGTTGAGTATTAGAATGCACCAAACCAAGGGGTAAAGTTTGCATTTTTTTTAATGTTACTTAAATTAATTTATATCAATGCAAACAACCACTTTCTGTGGAGAAAAATCAGCACTCGTCAGGCTAAGATCCGCGGTATTGGTAAAAAGCAGTACCAGAGAGATTGGAGTTTTCATCATTGCTCAGCAGGTTAACGTTTAGAAAATAAATATTAAACAAAAATAACTAATTAAATAAATAATAATAGTTTGGTCACTCAATCCACCAGTGAGTGGGACACTGCTGTGCAGAATTGGCTGCCAGGTTTCACCACAAAATATACAGTCAGTTCACTTTACAGTATATTCTTTGACGCACTTTGGGACGTCTCAAAGACGTGATAAGGCGCTACATCAATTGCAAGGCTTATTATTAAAAGATTGTAGATCTCACTCTAGGGTCTACAGCAGTACTCATACGCGCTTCAAATTCCCAAATAATGGGGTTGATTGAGTTTTAATGGAGGAGCCCACTTACCCAGAGGACTGCAGTGTCACCCAGTGGTCATTTCACCTATGAAAATTGACACACAGAATGCTTAAAAATGTTCAGACTTTACCCAAGTGTTTGAAAGATAGAATTGGCTTTCAGTGTTCTCAGGCCTGTCTGTATTTTCTCCTTTCTCACAATTCATTTTAAAATGGAGGAAGCACTGTGTTTTTTGCTGAACTGGCACTGCCTTACATTTTTTTCAAAGATTTTAATTCTGATCATATTAATTTTCCTGAAGAAATTTTTTCAGTAGAGGGCAGAATGTGGTTTCACAAAAAACAGGGCTTCTTCCCAGTTTAAAATCAATCCAGAGAAATGATCGATTATTCTCTGATGACTAATTGATCGAGAATTTGTATTATGCATTTTAAATAATATATTGTAATGTTTTGGAACAAAAGACTTTTAGTAAAATCTTGTCATGGAAAGCGTATCTGAAAGTTACAGCGAGTTATTCATCATAAACATACTCAGAAGAGCTATACAACACTTTCAATGCTTCATGAACTAAAATATGATTATTCTGCTGTAAATCTGTGGTTTGCCTTGTGCACCCAGCAAAAGGATCAGTAAATTCAGATTGCATCTGGGTTCGATAGTCAGGCATGAAACGTTGGGCAAGTTTCCTTACTGCACGGGCCTCTGTTCACTTAGCAGTAAGTAGGAATCCGGTTGTTGGTCAATTGGCGGATCGCTTTTCTGGGGTAATATAATAATAGTCCTCGCATTTGATATAGCGCCTTATCATGTCTTCGAGATGTCTCAAAGCGCTTCACAGGATACACTGTAAAGTGTTTTTACTTTATATTTTGTGGGCGAAACACGGCAGCCAATTGTGGACAGGGATGTCTCACAAACAGTTATGGATTGAAGTGACCAATTTTTTTTGAAGGAATTATTAACCCCAGAAAAGCAATCTGCCAATCGACCAACACCCAGATTCCTACTTGCTATTAGGTAAACGGGCGGTGTGAGTAAGTGAGGAAATTCGTCTAAGGGAATCAAACCCGGGTCCGTTCGCTTGCGAGTCGACTGCTCTAACCACTGAGTTACAGGACTCCACGATAACACATTCAAGAAGAAAATTACAAATAATAATAATTTGGTCATTTCGATCCACGACTGTTTGTGGGACGCCGCCGTGCGCAATTGGCCGCCGCGTTTCACCCTCAAACACACAGCGTATCCTGTGAAGCGCTTTGAGACGTCCCGAAGATGAGATAAGGCGTTATATCAAACGCAAGGACTATTATCGTTATTTACGCCCAGACTCTGCGCTCAGCAGAACGCTCTGCAAACCCATCGGTTTGAAGGTTGAAAGCAGCCGACATGGTCCTGGCAGCTCCTTGGCGCGGGGGCCGCCGGGAGTTGTATTTCCCTCCGCCCCGCGGAGGGCGGCCAGCGGGGGTGTGGAGGAGGCGACCGGAACTACACCTCCCGGCGTGCCTTGATTGTGGCGCGCATGTGCTGGCCGTGGCGCGGGGTGCGCCGGGAGTTGTATTCCCGCCCCTCCCCTGCACGCCTCTCAGCCCCACGCGGGGCGGAGGCGCCTGGAACTACACCTCCCGGCGTGCCTGGGTGTGGCGCGCAAACTCCGGCGTGGCGCGGAATCCATTTTAGCGGTTGCAGTCGAGGTCGCGAGAAGCTTTCCAGAAACGTCTGCCGGTTCCAGGGACGAAGCGAAGCCGTCTTAAAGCCTTATTTCCCGCCCCGAGAGCAGAATGGTAACCGGGGATGGGGGGGGGGGGCGCGAGTGTGTGTGTGTGAAGGGGAGAGGGTCACAGGGCAGAGTTGTGTTTGGAGGCTGTGGCTGAGGAGACTCGGGCCTTGGCCTCGCGCTTGAGCCGCGCGCTTGCTTAGTCACTCACCCCGGGGGACGCGCCGTGCCGAGCGCAGGGGTTCGTACGATTGCTGTTGGGTGTTCCCAGCTTTGGTGGGGATCGACGTCTGGTCGGTCAAGGCAGACGGGGCCCAGGTGGGGGAGTTGGCGAACCGCGGCGCAGAATGGCCGCCCTCCCTGTTCCTGATGTCTTAACCGGGGGGTTGGGACATCCATTTTGAAATGGGCTCCGCCAGGACCCAACCCTTAACTTCCACGGTTCCAGTTCACAATCAATAAATAAACGCCCAACGACAATAAATGATACTACCGCGTGGAGAGGAGATTTCCCGAGGCGCTGGGCAGTCAGGGATTTGGACCCGAGCTGGTGGGGGAGGGGTGGGGGTTGGGATCGGGAGGGGTGGGGGCAGGAGGGTGACCGAAGGCGCGGTCGCAGAGCAGGGTCTTGAGATGTGCCTTTGGAGGGAGGCGAGGGAGGGCGAAAGGCTTACGCGGAGGGGGAGCGCACGGTATTTGAATGCGAAAAATTTTAATCTCTTGAGAGCGGTGCCTTAAGGAAGCGGTGACTGTGGCGCCGAGTTGAGCTTTTCTCCCCGGTATCCGGTTAAGTTGTTCCAGTTTGCATCACCTGCCGACAATCTAACGTTGCATTGTGTGAACAGCTTTGTTTCTGAGCTGCATCACCATTTCCTGCAGAGAAGCCACAGGTGCGGTCAATTGTATTTTGAACTCTTGTTTTGCCTTTGTTCCGATAATGGGCTCTTTTTGCTCCCACAGCGTGAGTGTATCTCTGTCCATGTTGGCCAAGCCGGTGTCCAGATAGGCAATGCCTGCTGGGAGCTGTACTGCCTGGAACATGGCATCCAGCCTAACGGACAGATGCCCAGTGATAAGACAGTTGGAGGGGGCGATGACTCCTTCAACACGTTCTTCAGTGAGACGGGAGCTGGGAAGCATGTCCCACGCGCTGTGTTTGTCGATTTGGAATCCACTGTAATTGGTAAGTGGTAAGTGAAATAGGCCATTCCTTATAGACATGGCGTCAGTGAGTCAGACTTGATCACTTGACCCATGGCCGAAGGTCGGCTTGACCATGGGTTTTAGTGCCGTTGCACCACCAGCAATCTGTGTCTTGAGTCAATATGTCTTACCCAATCTGGAGTTGGAAATTATTAATGTGTATGTGTGTGGTATTTTTTTTCAAATTGCTCTTGATATTCAATTGTATCATTTCTGAAAAAGTTAATATAATATATTAGGGGTAATAATCCCTCCACCAAAAATAAATTACTCAATCCATCACTGTTTGTGGGTCACTGTACGCAATTAATTGGCTACCACAAAATACACAGCCGTGCCTGTGCCAGCTCCTTAAAGAGCTATCCAACTAGTCTCACTCTCCCGCACTTACCCCATAGCCCTGCAAATCTTTCCTTTTCAAGTACCTATCCCTCAGGTTACCGACCCACCCGCCAGAGGAATAGTTTCTCCCTATCTACTCTTATCAAAATCCATTTAGACTATCAGCCCTTCCTCTCTTGGCTCACGGGTACTGATGTCTTGAAATTCCTTATTGCAGATGAGGTCCGCAGTGGTACCTACCGCCAGCTGTTCCACCCTGAACAGCTGATCACCGGAAAGGAAGATGCTGCCAACAACTATGCTCGTGGGCACTACACCATTGGTAAAGAGCTGATTGACCTGGTTCTGGACAGGATTCGTAAACTGGTAAAGTCTTCACTTATATCGCACTCCCACATCTGTCATAATCAGGGCTGAATGTAGTATGTTATTTTAAAAAAGAGTATTTCTTGCATTCCAACCACAACATGACTCACATACCATCTATTTTCATATATTTTACTAGAGGACGTGACGCAGAAATGGGTCGAGTCAGACACTGGCTTCAGAGATTTCCCTCCACATCTGCAAAGCTGTGTTTCTCTCCTGACTAGGGAGTGAGTGAGTGGGTAACTAAAAGATCACATCTCCTTGATGCGTGTTGAAAGCCACAAGTGAAATGCCTTCTTATAGTTTCCAAACTAGCTGCTGGTGCCCATCCATCCACAGCTCTCAGGTACCGCCCGCCCTCACCCCTGTATGGGTGTCTCTGCCCTGCATGAGCTGGTATGAAGGTGTAGAGCATTGCAATATCACCTGGATAATACAGCAGAGAGAGAGTGTCTGTTCTGAGATCTATATCAGTGTCCCAGTACCCTGTTTCTGCCACTGGACTGACCGCGCATGTAGATAACAGAATCTAGTAGATCTCCACAGACATTTTCTTAATTTACCTCCCCCTTCAATCGCAGGCCATGTCCTCTAGTTCTACAATTCAGTACAAGATAAAACAGCTTATCATGGTCTACATTATCTGGTCCCTCCAGAAGACCGTAATCATATTGCCCCTTAACCCTCTTCTCCAGTGTGAACATGTCCTGCTTATCTAATCGCTCTTCGTAGTCCAGTCCGTCCATCCCCTGAATCGTTTTGGTTGCCCTCCTCTGAATCCTCTCAATGGCTGCAATATCCTTTTTATATTGCGGTGACTGGAACTGCACACAGCATTCCAAAATAACTATTGCTTTGATGCATTTCAAGGTCAGGATTTTATGATAGATAACTTACCATTAAATTCTCAGTCAACCAGTCTAGGAGTTCGGTGGATTCTTTCGTGAAAATGTTTCATATCAGAGACTGAGCTAGGCCTTGCTATACCTTGGTGCTTATGTTTAGGATTTTACATTCTGAGGGAAATATTTACTTTTTTGTACTTCCCCCACTGTCACGGCTGAATAACGTTCTTGTATGTTATTTACAAGGACGTGCCCTGTCTAGCTAAATAGCTCAACACTTAGCTCACGGTCTACTAACGCATGTTTGAAACTAATTATTGGGACATTTGACTGGCAACGCTTTCAAATATCGTAACTCCAGTCTTAACTAACCTTGCTTAAAGTGCATGTACGGCAGCAATCAAAACTCATTGCATCGTGACTGCATTGTGACTTTTAAGATATAAAATAGTCTGTCATGTGGTTTGTGGTTGCCAATACAGGTTGAGGCTGAATTGTAATAATTTTTTTCGCCATTTTGATCATCTTAAATGTTGCACAAAATGGAGGAAAGAGTGAAAGTGGTCTTGAGGTGGAAAATTGGACTGTTTTTTCAATTGTATCTCAGGACTGTGTTGTCCTTGCAAAGGCCCATTTCAATTCGCAAATTAAAACGCTAGGTATTTTCTGGGTCTTTTTGTGGAGCAAAAGAAGAACATCAAGAGTGCGGATGGGGTGGTTTCAACACCATGTAACAGGTAAATTTGGCAAAAATTAGGATTTAATTTGGAACATTCACTTATCTCTCAGCTGTATTGACGTTGAGTATGTTCGTGAGATAGCCAGTTGGGTTTCCAGACGTACACAGTACATTGTTTTTTTACCAATTGACTTTGATCAGAAAAAAAANGCACATTTATTGGTGGAATGTTTTTTTCCCAAACCATGGCCGCATTGAAATAAATTAGTGTCAAGTTCACAAACGAACTTCATGGGACAATGCTGTCTAAAGGAAACCAATTCTATTCACTTTCATTGGAAAAGGAACATTATTTCATATAGAGAGAGGGTGGTCCAACTGTGGAGCTCACTGCTCCAGAAAGGTGTGAAGATAGAATTAATTTAGTTTTTAAAAGGGAGAGAGACACTTGGAAAGTGAGGAGATCAAGGGATATGGAGAGGAGGTGAGGAAATAGGATTCAGTGACCTGTTGGGATCCAATAAACTGGCAGAACAGGCTGGTAGATAACGTCCACCCGAAAGCAGAACACATGATCAAGAAAAACTACACTAAACAAGGTACTTCCCCCTTCATTGCTGTAGGCGGACCAGTGCACTGGACTCCAGGGTTTCCTCATCTTCCACAGCTTCGGGGGAGGCACTGGCTCCGGCTTCACTTCCCTGCTGATGGAGCGTCTCTCTGTTGACTACGGCAAGAAATCCAAGCTTGAATTTGCCATCTACCCTGCTCCTCAGATCTCCACAGCGGTGGTGGAACCCTACAACTCCATCCTCACCACACACACCACCCTCGAGCACTCAGACTGTGCCTTCATGGTAGATAATGAAGCCATCTACGATATCTGTCGTAGAAACCTGGACATTGATCGTCCATCTTACACTAACCTAAACCGATTAATTGCACAGATTGTATCTTCTATTACAGTTTCTCTTCGCTTTGACGGTGCTCTGAATGTAGATCTGACCGAGTTCCAGACCAATTTAGTGCCATACCCACGTATCCACTTCCCTCTCGCCACTTATGCCCCTGTGATCTCGGCTGAGAAAGCTTACCATGAGCAGCTGTCTGTGTCTGAGATCACCAACTCCTGCTTTGAGCCAGCCAACCAGATGGTCAAGTGTGACCCTCGTCATGGCAAGTACATGGCATGTTGCCTGCTCTACCGAGGTGACGTAGTGCCAAAAGATGTCAATGCCGCTATTGCCACCATCAAAACCAAACGTTCCATTCAATTTGTGGACTGGTGCCCAACTGGGTTCAAGGTTGGCATCAACTACCAGCCTCCCACTGTGGTGCCCGGTGGTGACCTGGCCAAGGTGCAGCGTGCAGTGTGTATGCTGAGCAACACCACAGCCATAGCTGAAGCCTGGGCTCGGCTTGACCACAAGTTTGATCTAATGTATGCCAAGCGTGCCTTTGTGCACTGGTACGTGGGGGAGGGGATGGAGGAGGGGGAGTTCTCCGAGGCTCGTGAGGACATGGCGGCCTTGGAAAAGGACTATGAGGAGGTCGGAGCAGACAGCGTTGAGGGCGAGGATGAAGAAGGTGAAGAGTATTAGATTTTAATTCAGGATTCCAGAGATTGTTGTGGAGGATGACTGAGTGAGGCTGTCACATTCCACTTCCGCCCTCGTGAAGGGGAACAATGCCGTGGTCGCGAGCATTTGCTTTTTTTTGCCTCCCTTTAATTTTAACTGAATGAAAGCAAGCGTTTTGTATTGCGCAGAATAGCGCCCAGTCACCCTTTTCTGAGTGTGGGGCGGGGGGGAAGTGTTTATATTTAAATTTGGAGAACGGGAGAAATGAACTTCATTATTCCTGATTATGAGAGCCACTGATTCTGAATAGATGATTTATAGATAGGGAAATATGTTTGGATCACTTATTCTGTTTGAATTGTAATTGTTAAACGCCACCGATTTTAATGCCTGCCGTTCACTACCCGCACCTTGTCCTGTGGCAGAGCAGTAAAGCATCGACTCTAGAATAAATTGAAGTAACAATTCCACTTGCTTGGGAGCGTGCTCTCTGATGATTTAGCTGCCGTTTGGTTAAATTCTCGGCAGAAAAGATGGTTGCAAAATGTTCATCCACATTAGTTTAAATGTTCCACGTTTAAGGTTCCCAACACCGAGTTGTATTCAAGCGCTCTGAGACACTCCCCCCGCGTGATAGAAAGGGCGCAGTAGAAATGCAAGTTGTTCATCGTTGCATGTGAACTTCGGAGCTGCAAAAAGTGTGGGTGTTATCGAATTATTCCTGTTGAAATAAAATTCTGTTTTTTGCTTTACTCATTTGTCCGTTCTTGACTGTTTTGGGATTCTATTAATTTACTTATTGTCGGCTCAACAGGGCAGCCAGTCGTGTGTCTGATTCAGATGAGCAGGGGTCAGGGGGCTGGTTTGGGTGACCCTGGAGTCGAGTGGTTAAGAGTACTCGCCTCGCAAGTGAGAGGACCCGGCAGGTCAGGGCAAAACCTTAGGCAAGTTTCCTTACTCCCCACACGCCTCTGTTTACCCAGCAGTAAGTAGAAACCTGGTTGTTAGTCGATTGGTGGATGACTTTGCGGAGTAATAATCTCTCAAAAAAAATTGGTTATTCAATCCACGAGTGTTTGTGAGACACTGCTTGTGTGCAATTTGTTTCATGGCTGCTGCATTTTGCCCACAAAATACAGTCACTACACTTTACAATCTATCCTTGGAAGCGCTTTGAGACCTTTCAATGATGTGACAAGGTGCTGTATCAAATGCCAGGATTATTATTAATTAACCTGTTGATTGGGATCGTCACGAGAGGATTGGGTGACAACAACTCTGGCCCAACTGATCTCATTCTTGAAATTCTGACAATTCCTTTCCCCTCCCCACTACCCCCCACCGCCCACCCCCCAGTACTGCAGTGGAACGTCAGACTGGACAATGAGCTCAAAGCCCCCCTGATGTTGGGACTCGAACCCACAAGCTCCTGCCCCGAAGGTGAGCGTACAAGCGAGGGGCTGAGATTGATGATTAATTACCGCCCCCCCCACCCCATGTGCCCTGTGACTGCTCCGCTCGTTCCCTGAGTCAGGCTAAACCAGGCTCGACCCAGGGCAACAGAACTGGAGTCGACAACCTTTCGGAGGAAAAAAGAAACGGGTCAAAGAATAAAATAAAAACGCCAGACTGATTTTTAATTTGCACAAACTTCACAAACGGAACTTTATTCACATCGATATAGAAAATTAATCTTTCAATAAATTTATCCTCGGAGGATCTCATAAGGGGTTTGGCAGTCACCAAGGGGTTAGATAGGTAGACGGACAGACAAATAGATAGATAGATGGATAGATAGCAGCTCGGGGGAGTGGATAGCATGGGAGAGTGGCTGCAGGTGTCTCTTGGGATCAGGAAGGCTGGATTCCCGCTGGGAGTGCCTTGCTTACCAGGATTGGGAAATCGGATGGATGGGCCTTTGCCTTGGAGGGAGGGAGGTTGAGGAACTTGAGGGGTGAGAACCGAGAGTGTACAGGGAATAAATGAAGCCGGATAAAATGCACAATCCTATGTGTGTTGCAAACTCAAAAGTCCTAAGGGAAGGTAGAGCAGCGAAGTAGTAGTGGGGGGGGAATCCAATGGAGATTTTCAGAATGATTATTTGTTCAGCTAAACAGATCACACACTCACACACACACACACATTGGCTCATTGAGTTGCTAAAATAGGGTAGACAAAAAGACATTGAAGGTGGGGTCTGTCATGGTTTAACGAGGGGAAAATCAGGGAAATTCAAGATTTGTTGGCAAAACACATTTTTGGGGGGGCTCCCTGTTCCTCACACCCAATACCCTCGGCATCTTCAACCTCCCCATCCATTCATCCATCCATCCATCCATCACAGCAATCTGCTCCAGTCCCAGATCATACAGCAAACAGGTCAATCAAATCACTATTTTGGTTCCAGGCGCCACTGAGTCAGGGTTTGGCCATAAATCAACAGATATTCAATCAAGAAAAATTCATTTGATTTTGGCCGACCAAAAAGGTTGGGTGTGTGTCCAGCATTGCTCTGACTCATCCATCAACAACACCTAACCTCATAAACACCATAAGCCACACACAGACCTTGTCACAGAAGTCGCTAACGGAGCCCACCATATATATTCTGTGTCACTTAATGAACTCGTAGAAGCCCCTGCTCGCTTGCGCCACCCGCTCAGGTGACTCACCCCCCTCCCCCCCCCCCCGGTAAGGCGCGATGACACACGGTAAACGTTACGGGACGCACACACGACGATGGGAGCGGGTGGGACGCGGTGTTGGGTCAGTGTTGGGAGGTGGCAGCTCAACTCGGACGTATGTGGGGAGGATTCTTCTCTTCCCCCTCTCCTCTCTCTCCCCCCCACCACCAACGTGCCTTACTGTGGCAGTGCCTTCAAAATGGCGTTGACTTCCTCCGCTACAGCGGTGAGAGCAAACTCAAACTGGTCCTGTGGGGGTGGGGGGTGGAGAGGAGACAAAGGCAGAATCAGACAAAGTTTGCTTCCCCCCCCCACCCCAACCACCCCCTAACTTGTAGTCCAATCCTGTGTCCCTTCGCGGTGGCTCCTGGGCACAACAGTGAATTGGGGGTGTGGGGGGGGGGGGGAAGGTTTACGTTTAAATGCCATTGAAGGTCCAGTTGCACTATTCGAAAAGAGAAGGGAGTTTCTCTCTCTCTCGCTCTTTCTCTCTCTCCCCCGGTGTCCTGGCCAACAATCCCCCCACCCCCAAATAAAATTGGTCACTCAATCCACGGCTATGCTGTGTGTGGGTCACTGCTGTGCGGAATTCACTACGGTGTTTTGCCCACAAAATACACAGTGAATCCACTTTGAGACGTCTCAACGACGTGAGGAGGCACCGGATCAAAGGCAAAGGTTTATTATTATATCATAAGGGAATGAGGTTGGGTGGGAAGGGGGTGGAATGGAGAGAGGGAGGGGCCGGAACAGTGTCAGCTCTGTGATACCCTGGGAGCCCAGCACATGGGGAAACAAACACCCACCTTGGCTCTCACCATCCCGGGCCTTTGGTCTCGTATGTACTCCAACGTAGCTGCGATGTCGATCTCCTTCACACCTGGTAACGAGCACAGACACAGCACAATGGAGCAGCTCGCACTGTAACACACACCATCAGCCTCTCCTGGCCCTCGTGGGGCTCAGTGCAAGGCAAGTCGAGCAGAAAATATCTATTGCATTAACAGAACTGCTGTCCTCTAGATGAGACATTAAACCAAGGGACCCAGATGCCTGTTCAGGTGGATGTTACAGATCTATGGCTCTATGGGCAAAGAGAAGAGAGTTTCTCTCTCCCAGTGTCCCAGACAGCAGTTACTCAGATGAAATGTTCTTATGAAATGGCTTCACGGCTGATTGTGGGATATTGTTGTGCACAAAATGGCTACTACGTTCATCTACAAAACAAACAGTCACTACACTTTGACAATAATAATAATAATAATAATCCTTGCATTTGACATAGCGCTTTTTCACGTCTTTGAGACGTCTCAAAGCGCTTCACAGAATATGCTGTAAAGTGAATTGACTATACATTATATACATATAATGTATATTTGTGAATATACATTTGTGGGCGAAACGCGGCAGCCAATTGCGCACAGCAGTGTCCCACAAACAGCCGTGGATTGAAATGACCAATTTATTATCGTTTTTTCTTTAGGGATTATTATCAGGCGCGTGGAGTAAGGAAACTTGTCCAAGGTTTCAGCCACTGCCGGGAATCGAACCCAGGTCTCTCGCTTGCGAGGCGAGCGCTCTAACCACTGAGCTACAGGACTCCACGACTGCTGAATAAAGTGAGAAAAGCATCATTCTGTGTCACTTAGTAAAACCTGCCTCGGGAGACGATGCTGCTATGGTTGTAGAGAAAGCACCAGTGTAAGGGAGTTCATGTATCATCATAGAAGTCCCAGAACATCGTTGATCCAAGGATAAGAATTTCAAGTGCTCCCTTCTCTTCTGCAGAATCGTTTTCGAGAACCCAATTGTGTTCCCTTTTCCCTCATTTGGTTTGAAAAATGTCTGTTTAGCTGCTTAAACAATTTGAATTCAGTCTAAGAGACAGGATGTAACACATACAGCCCAGTGGAGAGATGATGGGAGGGGAAATTTATTTACCTTGGCAGTGTGAAGATATGATTGCTACTACTACCTTTGGACATTCACAGAGAATTTGGATCTTTATCGGTGAGCCAATATCATTCTTGTTGTCCGGCACAATTGATGAATTGAGACTTCTTGACCACGTGATAAGGCACGATACTGAATGCAAGGATTGCTATGGCACAGAGACCTGATATCCACTGTTTTCATGTCTGCAAAGTGTCTGATCGCTATCAATGTGGATATGAGGCTCTGCGTGCACACAGGAGTGGTACAGTGTGTCACGCGCTCTCCTCACACACTCCCCGACGGGTCCTGATCCCGAATAGTGAGAGACGCCGCTGGTGAACACTATAATAAGCCTCCGGTTACCTTTGGACATTCTGTTGAGGACCATGTCAATCAGGATGTAGGTTCCAGTCCGCCCGGCCCCATCACTGCAAAGCAAAGAGACATCGGTCAGTCACACAGTCACGCACTGTGTGTGCACACAGGCTCTGTGTCATTTAAAATGTCGCACACAGCATGTGATGTACACAGATTAACATAAACACACTATGATCTAGTAGTTGTTTGTTGACTGGGATTCCCACTGAGTGTGTGTGGATGTATCCTGTCTCCGCTCCAGCCTCTGTGGCCTGGGAGCCGAGCGGCATGGCTGGGGCTGGGGGTTGGTGGTGGGATCGGGGAATGGGGGCACGGGGGGTGGCGGGGGCGGGTGGGGGGGGGTGGCGAGATGGGGAACCTACCTGCAGTGAACCACGATCGGACACGAGCGACCCCGATAGCACTTGTTGACCTTCCTGTGGGACAGAACGGAACAGAATCAAACTCCCTCTCACATCACTGAGCTCGGGCTCAAAACGCGGTAAAATTATGTGAGGTTTACTGTATAACACACAACAACAACAACAACAACAACAACTAATATTTACAGCATCTTTCACGTCGGGAGGACGTCCCAAGGCGCTGGACCCAGAGGGAGGTGATAAATGAGCCAGTGACGGAGCTAACGAGACACGTGGAGCCCAACAGGTCAAGGCGGACACTAGCCCCAGATCCCAGGAGCCTCCTTACCCCCTTTCCCCATTTCCTGGATGTGCTCCTGGGTCTGGGCACTGAGCAGGGAGTGGCTGGCAGCGGGAGGTAAAGAGAGAGCACTAGAGAAGGTTCCACGGAGCCGGGCGGTGCTGACACAACCACCAATGATCACTTTTGTGACTATGCAACTGGATCCAGATTACTAGCTGCAAATCACAAAAATGACACTGAGAGCTGAGAGAGAGAGAGAGTGTCAGAGAGCGAGAGAGAGAAAGAGAGAGCGGCAGAGAGAGAAAGCCAGAGAGCAAGAGAGAAAGTGTGTGAGAGACAGAGAGAGTTGAGAGACAGAGAGCTACAGAAAGTGTCAGAGCGACAGAAAGTCAGAGAAAGAGTGTTGAGAGAGACAGAGAGCGACAGAGATGACAGAGCAACAGAGAGTGGCAGAGAGTCAGAGAGCGAGAGAGAGAGTGAGACCCAGCAAGTGTCAGAACGACAGAGAGAGAGAGAGAGAGAGAGAGAGACAGACAGACGAGGGGGCCTAGGAGCTGTCAGAGGCTTGTTACAGATGCCGTTAGTGAGGGGGTGAAATGGGCCCGAGGGAGATTGGGAATGGGGTGAAGATATTGGCAAACCTGACACTTCTCGGTTCTGCACTCCCCCCCCGAACCCCTGGCCCTCGCTCTGTCTCTCTGTTTGGAGTTTTCTCTCACAAAACATCTGCCATAGATTTTCACCAGAAGATAAAGCCCTAAGTTATCTGTAATTTAACTTAGGAACAGGGGGAGGCCATTCAGCCCCTCAAGCCTGTTCTGCCATTCCATTAGATCATGGCTGATTGGTACCTCAACTCCAATTACCCGCCTTTGCCCCAAATCCCTTTATCCCCTGACTTGACAAACATGGATCCACCTCAGTCTGGACAATGTGAATGGATCCAACAACCACAGCCTTTTGGGGGAGAGAGAAAGTTCCAGATTCCCACTGCCCTTTGGTACTGCCTCAACTCCAATTTGTACACTGCTCTGGTCAAGCTACACCTGGGAAGGGTTCCTCACCCACCAGTGACCGCCCCACTGCCTACCTGCGGAAATCCAGGAGGGGGCGTGTGGAGGAGGGGATGCCCTCGGCCGGCCAGCTCAGGAAGTGGAACTGGGTGAGAGTGCGCGTCTCCTGGGTCTGAACGTTCTTCAGGTAGAAACTCCGCACCAGGAAATCTTCACACCAGATGTGCTCGGACACCAGGTTCACCTGCAGGGAGGACACACACGACTCGGAATCCTGGAGCAGACCTGGGTGAGGGTTTGAGACACCCTCTATATAGGAACAGGAGGAGGCCATTCAGCCCTCGAGCCTGGTCCACCATTCTATTAGATCACGGCTGATCTGTATCTCAACCCCATTACCCGCCTTTTCCCCGTATCCCTTGATCCCCTGACCTGACAGACATCTCTCCACCTCAGTCTGGGCAATGTGACCGGATCCAGCCATAATCCACAGCCTTTTTGGGGGAGAAAGAGTTCCAGATTTCCATTATCCTTTGGGTGAAAAATACTTCCTGATTTCACTCCCAAACGGCCTGGCTATAAATTTAAGATGATGCCCCCTTGTTCTGGATTCCCCTCCCCTCCACACCCCCCCTACACCCCCCACACCCACCAAAGGAAATAGTTTCTCTACGTGAGGGATGCTGTGCTAATGCAAGTTGCTGTTTTGGTGCCTTATTGTCATTGCCCACAGCTTCACTCACTGGCTCCCATTTCCCCAGCAAATCAACTGTTAAGATCTTGGCCCTGACCTTCCTTCACCAACTCCCCAGCATGTGCGCTGCTCACCTCGTAGATGTGGTAGAGAGAGGACCCCTCGTCTGGCCAGTACCTCTTACAGCTCCTGGCGCTGAGAGGTACAGACGCTGTGTGTGTCCGTGTGTGTCTCTCTCTCTCTGTCACTGTCTGTGTCGCTCTGTTTCACTGTCTGTGTGTGTCACCGTGTGTGTCACTGAGTGTGTGTGTCACTGTGTGTGTCACTGTGTGTGTCCCCGTGTGTGTGTGTGTGTCACTGTGTGTGTGTGTGTCACCACGTGTGTCAATGTGTGTGTCACCGTGTGTGTGTGTGTGTCACCGTGTGTGTGTGTGTGTGTGTCACCGTGTGTGTCACCGTGTGTGTGTGTGTCACCGTGTGTGTCACCGTGTGTGTGTGTGTGTCACCGTGTGTGTCACCGTGTGTGTCACCGTGTGTGTGTGTGTGTGTCACCGTGTGTGTCTGACGGCTGTCCCCTCTCCGGGTGTTTAGGGTTGTCATGGCGAGACGCCGTCACCCAGCAAGTGGTCGCCGCGGAGATGAGGAGGCTCCGCCCCCCACCGGCGGGAGGTCCCGCCCCGGAACGGTACGTGACCGGCCCCGCCCCGCGGTTCCCGGACCCCCGGGGGCGGCGTCCGAGGACAACACGGCCCCCGGGGTCTCGGAGCAGCCCAACACGCCCCGGGACAGACACGCTCCGTCCCCGCGGGAACACGGGACCAGGAGGAGAGGCCATTCAGCCCCTGGAGCCTGTTCCACCATTCTATCAGATCACGGCTGATCTGTACCTCCACTCCAATTACCCCCCCCCGAGCCCCCACCCCCCCCGAGCCCTGAGCCCCTGACCCCCTGAGCCCCTGACCCCCTAGCCCCTGACCCCCTGAGCCCCTGAGCCCCTGACCCCCTGAGCCCCTGACCCCCTGACCCCTGAGCCCCTGAGCCCCTGACCCCCTGAGCCCCTGACCCCCTGAGCCCCTGAGCCCCTGAGCCCCTGACCTCCTGAGCCCCTGAGCCCCTGACCTGACAAACATCTCCACCTCAGGGGGAACCATACCCCCACATCCCACAAACAGTCAGGAAGTGAATGAGTGATTGTATCTGAGGGGATTGTTAAGAGAGAGAGAGGGGGAGTGGGGGGGTTGGGGGGGAGTGTGGGGGAGTGTGGGGGAGTGGGGGGGGTGTGGGGGAGTGGGTGGGGTGTGGGGGAGTGTGGAAGAGTGGGAGGGGGTGTGTAGGGGAGTGGGGGGGGTGATGGGGGGTGTGTGGGGGAGTGGGGTGTGTGGGGGAGTGGGGGTGTGTGGGGGAGTGGGGGTGTGTGTGGGGAGTGGGGGGGGTGCGCGGGAGGGGGAGAAACCCCCACCTCCTTTCCCGACAGCGACGAGGAGATCTATAACATCCGCCCTGAACAGGGCACGGACAGGGAGAGAGGTTTAAAGTCTCCCCCCCAACCCCTCCCCCCACCCAACCCCACCGCCCACCCCACCCCAACCCCACCGCCAACCCCCACCCCCATCACCCCCACCCCCCCATCACCCCCACCCACCCCCAACCCCTCAACCCCCCAAACCACACCTAATGGACCCCAAAGGGTGTGTGGAGCACATTAAAATTAGGATTCATCCTGACACACACACACACACACACACACACACATACACACACACACACACACATACACACACACACACACACACAAACATACACACACAAACATACACACACACATACACACACACACACAAACACACAAACATACACACAAACACACACACACACAAACACACAAACATACACACACACACAAACATACACACACACACACAAACACACACACATACACACAAACATACACAAACACACACAAACACACACACACAAACACACACACATACACACACACACACAAACACACAAACATACACACATACACACACAAATACACAAACAAACACACAAACATACACACACACACAAACATACACAAACATACACACACAAACATACACACACACATACACACACACACAAACACACAAACATACACACAAACACACACACACACACACACAAACACACAAACATACACACACACACAAACATACACACAAACACACAAACATACACAAACACACACACACAAACATACACAAACATACACACATACACACACAAACACACAAACATACACACAAACACACAAACATACACACACGCACACAAACATACACACACACACATACACACACAAACATACATACACACACACATACACACACACACGTGCGCTCGCACACTTGCAGACACGAGTGCGCACACACACACACACACACACACACACACACACACAGACGGAGGAGGTAACCTCTATCTCTTTCTGTTTGTCTCTCTATCTCCCATTCTCCCTCTCTATCCATCTTTCTATCCCTCTCTCTCTCTCTCTCTCTCTCCTTCTCTATCTCCCCCTCCTCTCTTGATCTTCCCCCCTTTCTCCCTCTCTCCTCTCTCTATCCCGCGCTCTCTTTCTCTCTCTGTGTCTCTCTACTCTTTCCCCCCTCTCTCTCGCGCTCTGTCTCTCTCTCGCGCCCTCTCTCTCAGGTTGTATCAGGATGATGGCCGAGTCTCTCTGGATGCCCCTCCGTGGCCCCCGGGGAACCCGTGGCCCCAGAGGTACCCGCAGACTGGCCCCCCACGCCCTCGGCACCCCTTCGCTCCGGAGCCACCCCCAGCTCACCAGGTGGGTGACGTTTCCTCCCCCATCTCCCCAACACCCGCTCTCCTCTCCCCACTCTGCACCGACACTCCCCAGAGATCGGGTGTCGTCCGGGAGGAGAGATATCTATACACAGGTGTCCACAAAGTCCTGTTACCCCCGTGTTATCTTTCCCTTCAGTGAGTGAGAGAGTGTGCGTGTGTGAGAGTGAGTGTGTGTGAGTGAGTGTGTGTGAGTGAGTGGGTGAGTGTGAGTGTGTGAAAGTGAATAAGTGTGTGTGTGTGTGTGAGTGAGGATGAGTGTGTGAGTGAGTGTGTGAGAGTGAGTGAGAGTGAGTGTGTGTGAGTGAGCGAGTGCGTGAGTGTGTGTTAGTGAGTGAGTGAGTGTGAGTGAGTGTGTGAGAGTGAGTGTGTGTTAGTGAGTGTGAGTGAGTGAGTGAGTGAGTGCGTGAGTGAGTGAGTGAGTGAGTGCGTGAGTGAGTGAGTGAGTGTGAGTGAGTGTGTGAGAGTGAGTGTGTGTTAGTGAGTGCGTGAGTGAGTGAGTGAGTGAGTGAGTGCGTGAGTGCGTGAGTGAGTGAGTGAGTGAGTGAGCGCGTGAGTGAGTGAGTGAGTGAGTGAGTGAGTGCGTGAGTGAGTGAGTGAGTGAGTGAGTGAGTGAGTGAGTGAGTGAGTGATGGCAGATGATGTTGGTTTATTGTGGTTTCCGTGTGGGTTTTGACCCATTTTTGGCACCAAAATCACTAAACACTTCCCCCCGACCCACACGGAGGGGAATCCACACGAAGCTCTTTATTCCGACAAGAATCGGGCTTAGGCCCCAAAGTTCCCGCGGCAACACGGTGGGACTTAACCCGTTGCCCGGTTTGGTTCGAGTAGGACCCCAACGCCTACTGGCCGCGGAGTGATCCGGAAAGGAGCCAGTGGCAACGGGGCAGCCATCGGAGGGTGAACCCCGGGTCTCCGGCCAACCAACCCCCCGCCCCCCAGAGAGAGTCCAGCACCGATCTCGCCGACCGTCAGCCACAGGAAGGTGAGAGAAAACACACAGTCACTACACTGTACACTTTGAGACGTCCCAACCACGCGATAAAGGCCCTGTAACAAATGCGAGGATTGTTGTTGTTGTTGTTGTTGTTCCGCACTCCGCTATCGAGCTCTCCTGCTCCCCTCGCTCCCCGTTGGGACTCTGATCTAAGTCCCATCACCTCGCCCCCTCCCTCGCCTCCATCAAGGCACGTCTCAAGACCCTCCTCTTCGACCGCGCCTTCGGTCACCCTCCTCCCCCCACCTCCCCCCCCCCCCCCACCTCCCTGCCCTCCAGCGCCTCAGGACGTCCTCCCGACGTGAAAGTCAGACTCTGCGTAGACGTCACGTGTTGTTGTTGATGTGGAGGCTGTTTGTTGGGGGTTCTGCTCCCACAGAGGCAGCCGTGAGGAGGATAGCGTTGGCTCTGGACAAATATGGCCTCGATCTCCGTGACCTCAGCTCCCAGCAGCTCCGCAGCCTCTCCACAGCCATCCTGCGGTTACTGCGGACGGACAGCCCGGGTAAGAGAAGCCCCCACACCCCCCCCCACCCACCCACACACACACACACACACACACACACAGACACACACACAGCAGTCAGTGGGAACCCGGTTGTTGGTCGATTGTCAGATCGCTTTCCGGGGGTAATAATCCCTTGAAAAAAAATAATAATAATGTGGTCACTCAATCCACGGCTGTTTGTGGGGACACTGCCGTGTGCGCGACCGGCTGCCCGCGTTTCGCCCACAAAATACGCAGTGGCTCCAATATACCGGACGAGGGTCTGAGACACTTACTGAGACTATCGCTGTTTGTTCCCTTTCAGCTCAGAGTGAGATGGACATCACCACCGAGAAAAAGGTGAGATTGTCGGACACGAGAGAGAGAGAGAGGGAGAAGGGTGGATGGATGGACAGAGAGAGAAAGATTTGGGGCAGACGGAAAGAGTTGGGGAGAGAGAGAGAGTTGGAAAGGGATGGGTGACGGGGAGGGAGGGGGGTGGGAGGGTTGGGGTCGAGGAAGGTGAGAGCAAGAATGTAGTGACTGTGAGTTTGATCGTCGGCACGGAGTGAGAGAGGGAGGGGCAAGTCCGAGTTGGAGGAGTGGAGGGTGTGGGTGTGTGGGCAGGTGGGAGACACCGTTCGTCCCGTGGCGAGGAGCCATGGCCCCCCCCCTGACACGCGTGTTCTTGTCACGGAAGGCATCTATGATGGAGGGAGCCATGCGGCATTGGAAAGAGACCGAGGCTGACGTCCTTCGCTCCCCGGTGCCCGGCATTCCCTCAGCCTCGCCCTCCGCTGCTCTCCCGGCACAGAGAGACCTTCCCGGCGACGTTCCCAAGCCGGGGCCGGCCAGCGACGTTCCCAGGGGACTCCCGAAGGCTCGGAGGGAGCAGGGGGCGGTGGCTGGAGCAGAGGGCACGGTCCAGGCGGGAATGACCCAGGAAGCTCGGAGCCGGGTGGTGGCGGAGATTGCCGAGATGCCGGGAATACCGGCGTTCCCGGCAACGCTCCGGAAGCTGGAGTCTGCGGCCGGCGCGGAGGTGCTCCCGAAGGAAGAGTACGGCTACATTGTGACCGATAAGAAGTGAGATCAGTAATTTACAGTTTTATCGTTATAACAACGCGTCTCATCATCTAAACGGTTCCTGCGGTTGAGGCCCAACAGTTTCCCATCAATAAACACTAATTGTTTTTAGGATAAACAGCCAAACAGTTTCTTGTTCCCAAATGAATCCCAAACCCTTTGCCCAATCAGCTCCTAACTCAACACAGGGTACACTGTAAAGTGTAGTGACTGTGTATTCTGTGGGCAAAACGTACGGCCAATAGAGTACAGCGACGTCTCACTAACAGTCGTGGATTGAAGTGACCAAATTATTATTATTATTATTTATTATTATTATTTTTTTTAGGGAGCGATCCACTAACAATCGGGTTACTATTGACTGCTGGTAAACAGAAGCGGGGCGGGGGGTGGTGGGGGGGGGGGGAGGAACCCTCGCCTGTCCCACAAACTGTCATCGAGCGAGTGACCAATTTTATTTGGGGGATTGTCGGCCAGGACATTGGGGGGTGAGCGTGTGAGTGACTTGAGCCGGGCTGTGGGGGGGTGGCGGGGGGGGCTCTGAGGGTCTGATCGCTGTGTGTGTTCTGTTCCCCCCCCCCCCCCCTTCGCAGACCCCTCGCTCTGTCGGACGGAGTGAAGTTACTGGAGACATTGGCCCACAGGATTCACCTGACCACAGCGAGTTTCATCAACATCAGGTAAAGCCCCTCCGAGCGCCGCAAACCAGCAACAGTGACGTATTATTATGTATATATAATGTAATATATATAGGGATTATTACCCCCGGAAAGCGATCCAACAGTCCCCCAAATAAAATCCTCTCTCACTGGGGCGGTTTATTGGGGGGGAGGGGAGGGGGGATTAACATGGCTTCCAAATTAAGACGGAATTGAAGAGTTTCCCACTCCTGTGGGTGTGCGCCCCACGATCCCTGGCTCTAACCCCCCCCCCACACTCCCCCACACAGCCACTGGCTCTAACCCCCCTCCCCCTGTGCTGTTCCCCCCACCCCCCAGTGTTATCGGACCAGCCCTGACCTTCCGAGTGAGGCTGAACGGACAGAATCTCACCATCGCTGAGGTGGCGAGCAGAGCCAGTGAGTACCTTCATCTCCATCATCATCATCCTCTTCCTCTCTACCTATCTCTCTCTCTCTCTCTCTCTCTCTCTCTCCTCTCTCTCTCTCCTTCTTTCTCGGACTCTCTCTCCCCTCCTTTGTCCCCCCCTCTCTCTCTCCTGTTCCCCTCCTCCCCGTCACTTGAGGCTGGAGCTGTTAATCCCCTTGTTTGATATGAAGAGGAAATGGTCAAGGGGTGAAGGGTGAGGGGCCACAGTCAGGGTCTCTCTACACTGACTGGGCTGTGTGTGTGGGGTGGGGGGTGGGGGGTGATGTGGGGGGGAGATCTCTCCTCTAGACAATTTGAAATAAGTTCTGCATCTCTGTCTTGATATATTTCCTTATGTTTCCCCCCTTTCTCCCCTCCCATTTCCCCCTCTCCCCCCCCCCCCCCCTCACTCTCTCTGCCCTCTTCTCCCCCACAGTTGCGGAGAAGTCATATCTGGAAGCGGAGACTGGTCTGAAAATCCTACAGGCGGGGGTGGGGGAGGTAAGTCCTGTCTCCATCGGACTCCAGGGGGGAGCACAGCCCCCACCCATTGACCCCCCCCCCCCACACACACACACACTCACACACGATGGGGATGAGAGGTCAGGGCACATCTCTCGCTCCCTCCCTCTCTCACACTCACTCTCTCACACTATCATTCTCACTCTCTCGTTCTCTTGCTTTTGCACATTCTCGCGCTCTCTCATACTGTCTCTCTCTCTCTCTTTCTCACACTGTCACACTCTCTCTCACACACTCTTACTGTCTCTCTCGCTCACTCTCCCACTCTCTCACACACACACACACACACACACAGTCGCTCTCTCTCACACTCCCTCTCCTTCACTCTCTCACTCTCATACACTCTCGTTCTCCTTCTTCCTCCTCTCACACGCTCTCCCTCTCTCTCTCTCTTACAGAGGAACGAGCTGCGTTCGCTGCCCAGTCCGACCCGCCACTCCGAAACATTCCGCTTCCTGTTGCTGTCGCTGGTGACGGTGGCGTGTGTGGCGGGCGTGCTGATCGCGGGCACACTCACCTACTGCCTCCGACAGAACTACAGGCAACGGCAACGCGAGAAACTATCCGGGCTGGGCACCGAGCCCGGCACCAACACCACCCTGGAGTATCAGGTACTGAGGCCACCTCAGACGTGATCAGCCTCTATATATATCAAACGCAAAGATTATTATTATTATTATTATTATTATTAAACCCAACTGGGAATTCCAGGCCTCCCACCCCTCTACACATGGAAATTCCCGAGATAGATTGTTGCTCTCTCTCTCTTTCTCTTCCTGAAGGGACGCACATCCCCCAATTCCGGAGAGTGTTAGGCGCAGGTTGGCGAGAGCCCAGGCTCGACCGGGGAGCCCAGAGTGTGCCCAGAGGAGGAACTGCTGGGGTCCAACCGGCTAAACCCACGTAGCTTGGCCATTGAGAGAGAGTGAGAGAGAGCGAGCGCTGTCTGGCCAAGCTTTCCCGCTGCTTGTCCAGCCAGGACCCCCCTCCCCGTGAGTTCGGGCTTTGGCCGTGGGGTTACCAGGAGCTCAGGGGTGGATTCCCTGCCCCCAGTGACCGGTCGGCCCTTCCAGCTCGTGCCGATGAACGAGGCCGGGCTGTGAGTGCCCTGGGACACTGCGGCCCCTCCTGGCTCAGGAACCGGGGAGTGGAGACCGTCACGGGGAGGGGGGGGGGAGGGGGGGGGCTCGATCCCCACATTCCGTTGGCGAACATGTCACCTGTGAATTGTGCGAAATTCTTAAATCCCGTCTCTTATCTCTTTGTGTCTCTGTGTGTGTGTGTGTGTCTCTGTGTGTCTGTGTGTGTGTCTCTTGCCCCAACTCTCCTCTCTCCGCTCTCCCCCACCCCCCCCCCTCCCCTCCCCTCTCTCCGCAGGAGCTGTGCCGGCAGCACATGGCGGGCAAGTCCTCGTACGGGGCGGGTGAGGCAGTGGAGACGTCCCGAGTGAGCAGCGTCTCGTCCCAGTTCAGCGACGCTCCCCAGGCCAGTCCCAGCTCCCACAGCAGCAGCACTCCATCCTGGTGTGAGGAGCCCGTACAGTCTAACATGGACATCTCCACCGGCCACATGATCCTGGTGAGACCCCGCTCACTGCCCCCCACTGCCCCACCCAGCTCAGCCCCTCCCCTGGCCACCCCCACACTGCCCCGCCCCACCCAGCTCAGCCCCGTCCCCTTCCCCTGCCCCCTCCACCCCCCACACTGCCCCGCCCCACCCAGCTCAGCCCCGTCCCCTTCCCCTGCCCCCTCCACCCCCCCACACTGCCCCGCCCCACCCAGCTCAGCCCCGTCCCCTTCCCCTGCCCCCCCCCACTGCCCCGCCCCACCCAGCTCAGCCCCTACCCTTGTCCCCGCCCAGCCCTGCCCACACCGCACTGGCTCCACCCAGCTCAGCCCCTCCTCTGTGTCATTTCGCCCCCAAAATATACAGTCACTACACTTAACAGGATATCCTGTGAGGGGCTTTGAGACGTGATAAGGTGCTGTATTATGATTATATTATTCCCAGCGCCTCGGGACGTCACCCGCCGTGTAACGCACTAAACAAACATGACTGTTGTTGTTGTTGTTGTTATTGTTTGGGGAGACGGGGGGGGGGGGAATGATACATTTTCTGACATCTTTTTCCAACCAAATGAACAACTGTAACACTTTGTGGATTTCTCCCCCCCCCCTCATTCGTCTCTCCAAACCCTTCCCCGCCCCACCCCCCACCCCCCCACCCTCCACCCCCACAGGCGTATATGGAAGACCACCTGAGACAGAGTGACCGGCTGCAGATGGAGTGGGAAGCTCTGAGCCGTTACCAGGCCGAACCCAACACCTGTGCCATCGGCAAGAGCGAAGTCAACCTCAAAAAGAGCCGCAATGCCGACTTTGTGCCGTGTACGTCCCAGGGAACGCCGTCATGAGACACTCCCCCCCCCCCATCCCATCCCCCACCCACTCAGCCACCTGGCCAGCCCCCTCCGCAGAGGGTGACCTCCCCCCCACACCGTGCCCATGCCCAGCTCTCCAACCCCCCTCTCCCCTCCCCTCCCCTCCCCTCGCTCGCCCCGGGTTGTATCTCTCAACACTTCCTACTTCTCATTCGCAGACGACCACAATCGAATGATGTTGAAAGCCCAACTCAACCCCTCGAGGACCGACTTCATCAACGCCAGCCCCATCGTAAGTTACTGTTGGGGCCAATACACTGCGTAGAGCTACACCATGTGGAGGATCGGGAGGGAGGGTGGTCTGGGTTTCTGTGTCTGGCTCCCCCCTCCCCCCCTGTTATCAGGGCTAGAGAGAGGTTGGGGTCTGTCACTGTCTATGGTGGATTCCATTCCCATCCCATCTCTTGCTGTCCCAGTCTCAGTCTTTCCTCTCTCTCTCTCTCTCTCTCACAGATTGACCATGAGCCCCGGATGCCAGCCTATATCGCCACCCAGGGTCCCCTCTCACACACCATCGCCGACTTCTGGCAGGTGAGACCCCCCCCCACGCACCCCCCTCGCTGCTCGCTGCCGGGGACGAGCTAATAACAACAGGACACAGTATTAACATGACAACTAACGCAGTGGGTCGAGCGATCAGGAAAACGGCCTCACACTGAGCCTGTGAGCAGTGACGGGAACCAACAAGTCAGATAACAAGTGGAGGCTCTGACCTCTGGTGGAAGTCTGTGTAGTGACTGTGTATTTTGTGGGCGAAACACAGCAGTCGATTGTGCACACAAAGTCGTGGATTGAGTGACATTATTATTATTTTTGTTGGAGGGATTATTACCCCTGGAAAGCGATCCGCCAATCGACTAACATCCGGGTTCCTACTTACTGCTGATAAACAGAGACGTGGGGGAGTAAGGAAAGTTGGCTAAGGGTTTGCCCCGCCCGGGAATCGAACCCGGGTCCTCTCGCTTGCGAGACGAGGGCTGTAACCTCTGAGCTACAGGGACTCCACGAATGATTTCCTCCAGATTGGGTGGGACGTGCTCATTGATTGGGGGGGGAAACGGAGGATATTTTTCTCATCGCCCTCTCTCTCTCTGTGTGACCACTTCCTGTCCTGTTGTAGATGGTGTGGGAGAACGGTTGCACTGTGATCGTGATGTTGACACCTCTGGTGGAGGATGGGGTGAAGCACTGTGACGCGGCGGCGGCCGGTGGTGGGGGGTGGGGGTGGTGGGGGTGTGGGTGGTGGTGGTGGTGGGGGGTTATTTTTTAAGCTAAAAAAAAATATTTTTTTTAAGCGGCAAAGTTTAAAAAAAGCAAATAGGTTAAAAAAAAATTAAGAGACGTGCGTGAGTTGGTGGACGCCCCTCTCTCTCGCGCTCGCTCTCTCGCTCTCTCGCTCTCTCACTCTCTCTCTCTCGCTCTTTACCCTGGAGGAAAAGTTGGCAATTTTTAACTCGCTTTTAGTAAAAAAAGAGGCCATTCTTCTTGGAGGAGGGGGGGGGGGGGCGGCGGGGGTTTGAACGTAAAAAATTATGAAAGAAAGAACGATTGACCGACAGAAACGCTCGTCGGTCGCGAGACGTCTGTGTCTCTCTCTCTCTCTCTCTCTCTCTCTCTATTTCCTCTTTGAGGAAATGTTGGCAATTTTTAACTCACTCTTAATAAAAGCAAAGGTTTTTTTTTGTGGGGGGGCGGGGACGGGGGAGACGGGGAGAGACGGGGGGAGAGACGGGGGGAGAGACGGGGGGGAGACGGGGGACGGACGACCGCACACGTCGAGACGAGCTTTCTTTGAGTTCATTCAGGAAGAGTTTTCGCTCTCTCTCTCTCTCTCTCTCTCTCTCTCTCTTTCTCCCCTTTTCTCTCTCTCCACAACACACAAATAATAATAATAATAATAATCATCAAGTGTTTGATGTTACATGAAGCTGCTGCCTGTGGCCCCCTCACCCCTCCCTCGTCCTCACCCCCCTCCCCTCACCCCTCCTCTCTCCCTCACCCTCCCTCGTCCTCACCCCCTCCTCTCTCCCTCACCCCCTCCCTCTCTCCCCCCCTCCCCCTCCCTCTCTCCTCACCCCTCCCCTCGTCCCTCACCCCCTCTCTCCTCCCCCCCCCCTCTCCCTCACCCCTCCCTCTCTCCTCACCCCTCCCTCTCTCCCTCACCCCCTCCTCTCTCCCTCACCCCCTCCCCTCCTCACCCCCTCACTCTCTCTCCCTCACCCCCTCTGCACCTTCTCCCTCACCTCTTCCCTCCCTCACCCTCTCACCTCCTAACTCTCTCTCACCTCTTCCCTCACCCCTCTTTCTCCCTCACTCTTTCCCTCTCTCCTCACCCCTCGCTCTCTCTCCCTCACTCACCTCCTCCCTCCCCTCTCTCCCCTCCCCTCACTCTCACCCCTCCTCCCTCACCCCTCTCTCTCTCTCCTCCCTCACCCTCTCTCTTACTCTCTCTCCCTCACCCCCTCCTCCCTCCTCTCCCTCACCTCTCTCCCTCACCCCTCTCCCTCACCCCCTCTCCCCTTCACCCCTCTCTTCCTCACCCCTCTCCCTCACCCCTCTCCCTCACCCCTCTCCCTCACCCTCTCTCCCTCACCCCCTCCCTCCCTCACCCCCTCTCCCTCACCCCTTCTCTCCCCCTCACCCCTTCTCTCCCCCTCACCCCTCTCTCCTCACCCTCTCCCTCTCCCCCTCTCCCTCACCCTTCTCCCTCACCCCTCTCCCCCTCTCACCCCCTCACCCCCTCCCCCTCACCCCCTGATTCAGGGCCGAACAAATCTCCTCATAAAAGACGGGAACGAAATAAAACCAAAGAGCAGCAACAACAACAACAACAGCAGCAACAGAAGGAGCCCCAAAACAGCCCCTAAACCGCCCAAAAACCGCGGGAAACACAGACCAGTCACTGTGCGGTTAGAGAGGGTCTCTCCCTCTCCCTTTCCCGCCTTCTCTCTCTCTCCTTCCCTCCCTCCCTCCCTCCTTCTCTCTCTCTCTCTCTCTCTCTCTTTATTTAATTTAATTTCTCTCTCTCCCTCTGTTTCTTTCTCACCGTCTTTCTCCTTTATTCTCTCTTTCTCTCTCTCTCTCCCTCTCTTTTTCTCGGTCACCCCCTCTTTCTCTCCCTTTTCTCTCCCCTTCCCTCCCTCCCCTCTACCTTTACCTATTTCCTTCCCCCCCCCTCTCTCCCTCTCTATTTTCTCCTTCCCTCCCTCCCTCTCTCTCCCTCTCTCTCTGTATTTTCTCCTTCTCTCTCCCTCTCTCTCTCTCTATTTTCTCCTTCTCTCCCTCTCCCCCTCTCTCTCTCTCTCTATTTTCTCCTTCTCTCTCTCCCCTCTCCCCCCTCTCTCTCTCTCTCTCTCTCTCCCCTCTCTCTCTATTTTCTCCCTCTCTCTCTCTCTATTTTCTCCTTCTCTCCCTCTCCCCCTCTCTCTCTCTCTCTATTTTCTCCTTCTCTCTCTCCCCCTCTCCCCCTCTCCCTCCCTCTCTCTCTCTCTCCCCCTCTCTCTCTATTTTCTCCCTCTCCCCTTCTCTCTCTCTCTCTATTTTCTCCTTCCCTCTCCCTCTCCCCCTCTCTCCTCTCTCCCTCCCCCTCTCTCTCTCTATTTTCTCCCTCTCTCCCCCCCTCTCTCTCTCTCTATTTTCTCCTTCCCTCCCTCCCCCCTCTCTCTCTCTCTCTCTGAGCCTCTCACCATGTGCCCGGGGGGTCGGGGCCGCTCCTCTGTGTTCGCCGCCGCCGGTCCTGGAGCCGCTGTGCGCGGAGGGCGGGAGGAGAGAGAGGGGGGGGCGGGGCGGGGCCCAGCGGCCTCCCCGGAGCCTCGGCCTCGCCTGGTCCCCGCGTCCGCTCTCCCGCTCCCTCCGGGCGGCCGCGGGGCCCTGACCCCCCCCCCCCCCCCCGGGACCCCCCACACTCACTCACTCACTCACTCACACACACTCACAAAAGTTATCGCATTTTCCTCTCTTCATCACCTGTTGTTATCTGAGAGAGACGACGAGAAAAAAAAAGGTTCAAAACGAATGGCTATAAACGTAATGTGTCAATATATTTTTTTTAAAAAAAAGGTGTTTTTTTGGGGCCTTTTTTCTCCCCTCAAAAAAAAAACAACCCCGAAATGTTGATTTTTTTTTAAAAAAATCCCCCCCCAAAAAAGTGTCTTTTTTTTTAATTTGAATTAATATTAATTTAATTCAATTCGATTGGAATTCATTTTAATTGTATTCATCTTCTTTATTGTTATTATTATTATTATTATTCATTTTAATTGTATTCATCTTCTTTATTGTTATTATTATTATTCATTTTAATTGTATTCATCTTCTTTATTGTTATTATTATTCATTTTAATTGTATTCATTTCTTTATTATTATTATTATTATTCATTTTAATTGTATTCATCTTTATTATTATTATTATTATTCATTTTAATTGTATTAATTTCTTTATTATTATTATTATTCATTTTAATTGTATTCATTTCTTTATTATTATTCATTTTAATTGTATTCATCTTCTTTATTATTATTATTGATTGATTGATTGATTCGCTTATTATTGTCGATGTCGGTGATCGGGTTTCCGTCGCCGTTGACACAAAAAATCCGCCGGAAAAAGTGTCTCCCAAAAAAAAAGCCTTTTTTTTTTTCATTTTCTTTCATTCGCTTTAATTCATTTCATTCGATTTGAATGAATTGTCACTGTATTCATCTTCTCTGTTATTATCGGTTCGGTTGATGCACTTATTTGTTACCGACGTCGGCGATCGGGTCCTTTCGAAGGACAAAAAATCCGCCGAAAAAAATAACCGAATGGAAATTTTTAAACGCTTTCCACTTTTTTTTGATTTCATTTTAATTTTAATTCGTTTTCATTACTTTAATAATCTTCCTCTTTGGTATTATTTTTTTTTGGGGGGGGAGGTGGAGGGGCGGCTGCCGGGGAGGGGGAAGAGAACACAATTTCGAAAGAACTAAACCTTCCCCCCACCCCCGAAAAAAATAATGAGCAGATTTTTAATTAAAATATTGACCTTTTTAATAAAACCCCCAAAAACGTGATTTTCCGCCCCCCTTTTCCAAGGGTTTTTTTTTTCCGCGCGGTTTTAAAAGCCGCCGGGAATCCCCCCCCACCCACCCCCACCAACCCCGAAAAAAAAATTGCTTACGTTTGCGTTGAGAAAAGAATTGATTTGATTTTTCGTTTTAAAAAAAAATAATTTACTTGTGATTCGATAACGAAAAAAAATGATCTTTTCGCGACAGTCTCAACGACGTTTTGACCCCAAATTGGGGCCTCCGCTCCTGGGCTTCTTTTTGGGCTGCGGACCTGTGGATGGTAACTATCTCGACACCCGGTGCCTTATCACCTCGTCGGGACGTCCTCCAAGCGCTGCGCGGGACACGCTGCCCAGTGTAGTGACTGTGGTGTTGTGGCTCGCCCGTTCGCTCCCTCTCTCGCGCCTTTTGAGTCGGGAGCTTAAGGGGAGTGAGCCCCCACGTCGGGGAACCTTGAGCTCCACCGCGGTTAAACATCCCAACGAAAGGAATGGCCGACAACACCCCTCTCCCCCCACCCCACCCCACCCCACCCCAACAACAACTTGTCTCGGAGCATACAACAACAACAACAACAGGAGCAACCAACGAACTGCGGCCCAGGGCGCTGGACAGTCGGGGATGCGGCGGGAACGTGCGAAAATAAACCGACTTGAGTCACCGCTCCACCGCTGGGACATTCCCGGGACTGAGTGAGCTTTCGCTGGGAGACGCGGCAATGTTCAGGCTCTCCCACAACCCCCACAGAATACGGAATATTACAGCACAGAATCAGTCCCCCCCCCGCCCCCCCGCTCTTTCCCCCCAAATCCTTGCACAATGTTCCTTTCCAGGGACCTGCCCCATTCCCTTTTGGAAGCTGTTATTGAATGGGTTCCCATAAAGCCTTTCAGGCAGTGAGTTCCGGACTGTTAACACCTCGCGGAAAAAAATTCCCGTCTCCCCTCTGGTGCTTTGTCCAGTTACCTCGAATCTATGTCCCCTGGTTACCGACCCACCCGCCAGAAGCAGTTTCTCCCCTATATCTACTCCATCAAAAGCCCTCATAGTTCTGGACACCTCGATTAAATCTCCCCCTCAACCCTCTCCGCTCCAAGGAGCACAATCCCAGCGTCTCTCTCTGCTCTGGAATATTCATCTGAATACCATCATTATGTCCCAAA